TTTTTATGTGTTTTTTATATATACCTCCGAGTAACTCAATTTATTATAATATGCATGATACTGGTTTCTTTGAAACTCTCGAAATAGGTGTAAGAAAATATTCAGATTACGGTAAAATATCGATTTTTGGTGATCTTAATGCACGATGTGGAAATAAATCCGATGTATTAGATACAAGCAGTAATTTTGACCGCTATATTCATTTTATTGAAGACAGTGAAATTAATAGTTTTAGTTATACGTTACCCGAACGTAAGTCGTTAGATAACTGTGTTAATTCGTCGGGAAATAAACTTCTCGATTTATGTTTGAGTACTGATCTCAAAATAGTGAATGGGAGATTAGGTTATGACGCAAATATTGGAAATTTCACATTTTTGTCTAATTTAGGCAAAAGCTTAATCGATTATGCTATTTTATCGCAAGAGTTGTTTCTGTTTGTTAGTAATTTCACTGTACATGATTTGTATACGTTTTCGCACCATAAACCAATACAATGAGACTTTAGTTTTAAATGTAACTATAATTATAATGTTAATGACGATATAAATATTGATGTAATAAAACGGGACAGTGATGATGAAGGAAAAATAAATGTTTATAAAGAATCCATTGAAAATGAAATTATGAATATTGATTTAATTGTGAATGATATTATAGCCAATAACATTGAACTAGATAATGGAATTGAGAAAATGACTGAATTATTGTACTGCAAAACATTTAACGTTTTTGGCGAGACAAAATGTATAAGAAATGCTAGACGTAAAACTAAAAGGAAATATGAAAGTGTGTGGTATAATCAGGAGTGCGAGGCTGCTAGAAGAGACTTTAAACATGCAAATAAAAATTACATTAAGCATAAATCTAACCAAAATATTGAAATACTTATTACTAAAAGGCGCATATATCGAAAAGCAAAAAGAAGAGCACGCACTAAATATTATCTAAACCAAAAAAAAGAAAATGGCTTCCTTAGCTTCAAAGCAACCTCAGAAATTTTGGAAAGAAATCAAAAGGCTCCGAAAAAAATGTAGTAAGAATGAAATATCATCCGATGAATTTTATGAACACTTCAAAAATTTATATTCTAATGAAGATCTTTTCAAAAACGACTTTGTTGAGGAAAGAATAAATAATATTGATATGGATTCTACCAATATTGAAGAGCTTGATGTTAAATTTACAAATGAGGACGTTGTTAGGGCAATTTCTTCTTTAAAAAGCGGTAAGAGTGCGGGGGTAGATTTACTTATACCCGAAATTTTTATACATTGTAAAAATATTTTAGCTCCTGTACTTTGTAAATTATTTAATCACATTTTTGATACAGGTGAATACCCGGAATCTTGGTGCAAGGGAATCATAGTTCCTGTGCCCAAAAAAGGGGATAATAATGATGTGAACAATTATAGAGGCATCACTCTGACCAGTGTATTTTCAAAACTATTTTCAATTATTCTAGATTTTCGTTTACGTAAATGGGCTGAAAGGAATCACGTGTTAAACGAGTTTCAATTTGGTTTTAGAAACAATAAGAGCACTACTGACTGTATATTTGTATTGAGTTCTATTATAGATAGGATAACAAAACATGAAAAGAAAAAAATGTATGCTGCATTTATAGACTTTAAAAAATGTTTTGATCTTTTGTATAGAAATGGGATTTGGTATAAATTGATTGAAATTGGAGTATCATTGAAAATTGTAAAAATGTTACGTAGTATGTATGCCTGTGTAAAGTCATGTGTAAGAGCAAATGGAAGATTGTCTGATTATTTCGATAGTTATATGGGTTTAAAACAAGGGGAGCCACTCTCACCTCTCTTATTCATATTTTTCGTGAATGATATGCACAGCGACTTGCTTAATGATACTGTTGGCTCTTTCACAATAGACGACATACAAATATTTCTTTTATTATTTGCTGATGACACAGTTTTATTTTCTTATTCTTAAGAAGGACTACAACATCTTCTAAACAAATTGTATAATTATTGTAACATTTGGGGAATTGTTGTTAATGTACATAAAACTGTTGCTATGACCTTCAAAACCGGTAATCGAAATGATGATTTAGAGGTCTATTATAATAATGAACGTCTTAAAGTTGTTAAATCATTTACATATCTTGGTGTTACCTTGTCATCTAATGGGAATTTTTATCAAGCTCAAAAGTCTTTATCCAACCAAGCATTAAAAGCATTGTTTTCGTTGAATTCTTTATTTGATTATATTTCCTTGAATGTATCTGAAAAGGTTAGACTTTTCGATACTATGATTTTACCAATTTTAACATATGGATCAAAGGTGTGGGGCTTTCATAACTCTCCGGATATTGCTAAAGTTCACTTAAAATTTTTGAAACAAGTTTTAGGCGTTCGTCCGCAAACATCAACTTCGACAGTACTTGGTGAATTTGGCAGATTTCCTTTGACAGTATATCGTAAAATTCGAATAGTTAAATTTTGGTATAGAATTTTGAAAGCCCCTAATACTCTACTTTTTAAAATAATGTTTATAAAAGATTCAAATGGTAATGTGACTAATTCATGGACAAAAAACGTTATGAAAATGTTGTCTGATTTAGGTTTTGGAAATTTATGGAACAATGTTAATGTTACAAGCATCCAATTAAATAATATTATACAAAGAATTTATGATCAGCAATTACAACAATGGTGTTCTGAGCTTAGAAGTTTTCCTAAATTATGTAGTTACAACTTATTTAAATTTAACTTTATTCAAGAAAAGTACTAACATGGTGTAAATAACATTAATCATCGTAAAGCATTATCAAGGTTTAGATGTTCATCCCATAAATTGTTAATAGAAGAAGGAAGATATAGAAATATTGATAGGAATTTACGTATATGCACTAAATGCAATATGAATCAAATAGAAAACGAATATCATTTCTTATTAGTTTGTCCCTTCTTTAGTGAATTGAGATGTCAATGTTTTCCTCGGTATTATTGTCATTGGCCAACCATTAATAAATTTATATCAATTATGCAATCTTCGCAAAAGAAAATAATTGTTAATTTAGCTTAGTTTATATATCGTGCTATGTGTAAGAGAAGCTCAAACAGTTGATTTTATGAATGTAGGTATTTGTTTCCATATTAATATATTCTTTATATTCTTCTGTGACTCATACTGACATTTTGATATTTTGTAGTATTTATGTTAACTGCTTACCATACTTTTCTTATGTTATGTAAATATGTTATAACCGCCACGGTAATTTGGCGATGAACATGTATTTGTTTTTGCCAATAAAATATTTGACTTGACTTGACTTGGTAAAGCTTTGTTTGTTTGTTTGTTTTGTTGTACGCTTTTTCCCAACAGTATTTCAGTCATATAGGCGGGTAGTTTCCTAACCATCGTAACTGAGAGGTAACTGGACTAGTAGTCATCGACTCTAACCCCTCGACCACGGAGGCGGTCTTAAACCTTTGTTAATAATAATTATGATAAGAATAATGAGGTGACTTTATGCCTTAACTATGTCGCATAGACCGATTAATTGTATTTATAGGTTTAAAAAGTAGACGATAATATACAAATATAGACGTTTTAAATGGTGAATATGATGTAATAGGTACTAACAACAATTGATACCAACCTAAGCGATAGTACATATCAAATATCACATCATGAATATTCACCAGCTTAGAAGTATGAATCCTTTTTATGATGTTATCTATAAAAAGCTTTTACATGTTTATGGCTTATCAAATCTGCCAAAAGATCGACAGAAATCGACATTTTTTCAGCTTGTCTACTTGTTCCATATTTTGCCCTGTCTTTTGAATGTGCGCATTGGCACGCTAAATTTGTATTGTTTTCGAAATTAAAAGGCGGTGTCTAATGTGAACTAATTTGACTTAATTTTCGAGTCAAAAATCAGAATAATAACAACAAACTTGGCATGATGTTACGTCATATCCTCGCGTCGTATATATTTACCAGCATAAAGTCCATATTTGTGAAAAACTATATATGCGGCAGTGTTTTTTTTTCATTTAGACTTGAACTAAAGTATATTTTTAGAGGTCACGTTGAAGGTCAACATCAAAAAGCAACAATTCTTTCTCTACATGGTCTACCTAGAACGGGGAAAAACTTCGTGAGTCGCATGGCGACAGAAAACATGTATGTCAAGGGATTGTTCATCTTCTTTCAGCAACGAAAGATTTTCCTCATGAAATTATGCTAGAACAATACAAAATATGTTTAAAAGAAATGCTTTAAGTCATAGTTATTAACATTTCAAAGTGTTTGCAAATGTAAGCAACTTTTATATTGATAAAAATAAATGTAAGAGATAAAGAACATATTCAGCAAATAATTATATCTGCATGAATAATTTGAGTTAGGCTACATATATACTTAATCACTATTATAATGACCAAAGATGAATTCTTAATTTCCTTGGTTACGCAGGAGACGCTGAAAATGAAGATAGAAACAGCTGATAAAGAATGTTCAAGGTCACTTTTTATCATTGTTTAAATGGATAAATTACTTCCTGGTTACGTTGATTACTATGACTACGTGAAAGGAACATCCTATAAGAAACTTCTATTTCACTTCTTAAGGTAAAATACTTACTTGTTTTTTATGGTAATATGCTTACGTGTTCAGGAATCATTGATATCGTTAAATTGAAGTGATTTCTTTTTGAAAACATATGGCAGTATTCTCGTTACGTGCAGCAATTCACGAGAATAGAATGTTTAAAAAATGATGAGTTTGAGCTGTAATTTCATATCCCAGGTAGGAAAGAACTTCTTATACTGTGTTTATTGGTTCAATGTTTGCGGTGTTCATATCATCTTGCAACTTTATACTACAAATGTAAGACAGTTATATAGAAGAAGGTTTCGTGCAGTTTCGAAATCAGTAATGTCAGTTTGTAGCGTTACGATAGAAAACGTTTTATCATAGAAGCCCTACATAAAGTTATATATCTTTTGTTATTTTTATTTCAGTAACACGGGCGGAGACATTCTTGCTAAACATGTTGTGCAAAGTTATACTCGTGGATATGATAGAAGAGAATTGAGACTAAAGGATATGGAAGAAATTGTACGAATTTCATCGTTAAATGAACCAAGAAAAGTGACTATACATTGTATTTAAATACTAACGGAACTTACCCTTGTATTTTTTTACCTTGTACTAATAGATTTAGAACATGTAAGATGTTGAACAAAATTATGAATACGCACTGAATGTGAAATAAATTGCCATAAAGGTAGCAAAATATCATCAAAGTAGATATTTGGCTTCCATACAAAATACTTTAGTCTGTCCCATTGAAAATGGAAATGAACTTTTGCCTAGTATGAATTAACAAAACAAGGTTGAATAACAATTAAACTATCATTGTAAACTAAAAAAAAGTCACCCTCGAGATTTTTCAGGATTTTTCTCTAAAGTGCCTACTTTTCTTGTGAAAGCAATTTTTGATTTCTCTATGGTAAATCTCTGTTGTTTGTTTTCCGTACAGTACTGTAGCCATTTCCGAAGTACTCTTCATTTGAATATGAACGGGAGAAAGCACGTGTCATGTTTCTAAAATATACATGAGGTCCTCGGGGTCGTTTCATGATTATTTTACAAAGCTGGATCTGCAATATGTAACAGTTTAGTTGCAATGCATGATGAAAAACTTTAAAAAGTGAAAAATAAGCAACAAGAACACCAAGTGACGAAGTCACGTGAATTGCACTTACCTTTAAGGCTTTTTAAGCAGAATAGAATCCCTATGAATTTCGAAATAGATCTTTATAAACTTCACAACAAGTACCCATTCTGAAGATTCCTTCATTGCCAGTTTCTATCCAGTTCCGTAGATCCCATTTTTTTACTTCAAAACTCCTGAATGACACGACTCCTACAATACTGTAATGATGATCCAGAATTTTTAATTTGTTAATCCGTCTCATTATCTAAAACAGTGTTCAATTTCTGGAGTTATCTGGGTTAGCAAATGAAATATGTAAATGAAACACATCATAATTCAGTATGTTCCAAATCCATAATTCAAGAACGGCCCATCAATTTTACTTGTCAACATCACAATGTTTATAACTTCTGACGAAAAAAACTTTATTACGTCAACAACAATTTACGAAATATATAACGTAACAAAAATGCCTCGTGCTTTTTATGGATGATTCCAGGTGCGGCATTGACAGAGGGCGGTTAGGCATATGTAACCTGATACATATAATTTTAAGCGTTGAGATAAATTTGTCATGATGGTATTTAAAATAATTTTGTATACCCAGATTTTGCAAATTAACTGTTAAAATTACACCTTCAATTCATATAATAACAATAAAACTTTTGATAACATTTAAATAATTTTAAACAGACTTAATGACATGAATTTCATATGACAGTGCAATACTTCTTCCATTAATTCATATATAACCTTCGTTTTTATTAAATATGCTTTTAAACTATTTTATATATTTCTCAGAAATGATTTTTCTACATATTATCTCGTTATTCAGGACATCAGTAAATCCTACACTTTTAGCTACAAAATATACAATACGCGGTATTTTTCTCCCGCAAAAAAATATGCTATTGTTTTTTCACTGAATGTTTTCAAATTTTAGGAAGGCTAAAATTATTGAGGACGTCACTCGGTGTTTTTCTTTGACTCGATCTCCCCTTCATATTAACATAATGATTATATGTAACACTTTGAATCTACAAACAAAAACAACAAAAAAACACTTATTGTCGCTTATTGAATGCTCCAATTCAAATAATTCTTAATAATATCAAATCACTGCCGATATTTCTGGACATTTTGTTAAATTGTGGGACGGAAAGTTAAATCTTTACGAGCTTAAAGTGTATAGGTCTACGTTTGATTTCTCAAACTAGAAAGCATGATAATTATTATATTCTAATAATTTATATTTTCCTCGAACGCGAGTTTTTTTATAGTGAATCAGTTCTCCTTTTTATATATTTCTTGTCAGATTTGCATAATAATGTAGTATTTGTTGGCGATTTCTTGTGAAAATTGAAACCTACGGAAAGTTTCGAACATCGCACCCAAAATAAGAAGGGTAACATATTTTTGTATCCCATCGAACCTGGTCAATTTAATTATTTTTGAATACTAGACGAGATACATACTAATGGACAGAATTCTGACAACTACGGAAAGAGTTTCTAAAAAAGCTCAAGCTTCCTACTCAATCCGTACTATTTATTATTTGTCAATTATCATGTAAATGTAATACTTATAAATAAAATATTGTTTAAACTAAACTACAGAATTATGTAAATTAAACATTAATTAGCGAAGAACCATTTTTTAGTCTTCTAGCTAGTGTTCCCGTTCCCCCACGACGCGTTGCTGTATTCAAGATAAAAAGCTATCTAAGCAAGTCACTTCATTGGTGAAGAATATAAAATACGGCAGTATAATATGATAATTATATATAAATCTTTGTGTGTTAGAATTTATATTTAGCGGTTACTGATCTTTTCACTTAAAATGACTTTGATTATTTTAAATAATGGTTTGCTAGTAAAATTGCCTTTTTGACACCAACTTTGTTATCATTTTTCCTTTTATGATAACATTGTAAATAAGAATAATCAATTTTTTATAATTACCGAGTATATTTAACGCTAATTGTGAAACGAACCCTAAATGACGTCTATATGGGCGCCGCCATTTTGAAATGGACGTCACGTCAGGTTACAACGTAAGTCAACGGGAAAAAATATTATTTTAACATTTTGACCATATTACTGAATTTATGAAAAAAATGAAAAACATGCCTAGAGATATTGACGTCAGGGTTTACATGATATTAATTTAATTGATTTTACTATTATATTTAATAAAAAATGGAATATTCAAATTTGATGGGACAGACAATAATTCAATGTTACGGTACTAATTTCCAAACGCACACATAGCTAAAGATGGCTTTTTTGATGTGATTGATACTTCCAAGGGACACCCTTTTTCCAGATTTTTTTCAGTTGTATGACCGAGGAGTAATTTTTTGGAAACAGTATCAGGACACAAAAGAAAAAGCATTTTGAAATCAAAATGAAACTAATGTCAGATTTAAACTTAATGGGCCTTTAAATGTTATGCGCTATTCATAACTAAAGATAAAAGTGTCATTCACTAAACTAAGTATTTCATATGTACTTTTATTTGCAATTCCTTAGGGACTTAGAATAAATGCATAGATAAACAATTTATCTCTGATGATATTATTTTGTTCCACTCATACAAATGATTTGGAGAACAGTAGCATCGTCAAGAATAGCTTTATTACAGCTTACATCCCATTCCTACCACTGGAAGGGAAACATGTTGAAAAATGCATCGTAGACGGACTATTGGCAAGAGGATTTTGTGCGTATAAATACCAAGTAGATAATGAATAAGTGAAAACAACTGCAGAAGAAATGTTGTACTTTCCTAATCTTGATAACTTATTTTCAACAACTGGTTGCAAACGTGTTATGGAGAAAATTGATAGATGTTAAGACAAAACTTTAATTAAAAAATATGTGGAATAAATAAAAAAATATGTGGAAATTAAGTATATTTGCCACTTTCAGAGATTTTTTCGCAGATGAAATGATAAGAAATTAATTGTAGTTTTCTTCATATTTCAATGACCATGTATATTTGTACAAGTCAAAAATAGATTTTATCTGTTCTGTTTAGATAATAATAGTATTCCTTTATGTCAATGAACCACTTACATAGAGAATGTTGACAAATTAATGAAATGTATATAATGGTATGTGGTTAACATACATTGTACATGTAGATCAATTTAAGCAAATGCCTCTTACTAGATTAATGCTTAATTTCTTGAACATTTTGAAAATATATCTAAAAATGAACTATTTTGAAGTGAACAAAGGAAGAAATTTAATAAACTTGAAAACAGCATTTACAATCCATGAAATTGCCAAAAAGAGGTCAAAATATACAAAAATAGTTCTTACTACTTAAGACACAGTACATGCAATAGAAAGATGGTGATAAATTTTGCAAAGTCAGCCAATAATGGCTCAAACCATGTATACTATTATTACTTGAATCTTGAATCTCTAAACATTTTTTATTTAATTTTTTCAAATATTTTGGCTCATCTAGAGGCAAACAGCTTTAAGACTATTTGTCAAGGAATATCATATTTTAGGAAAAATTGTAATACTGTTTTGTGATATATACATATATTAATATTTTTTACAAAATAAGTTTTACTCCATACACAAAGACTTGTTTTTGTTTCTATTGTATAAGAAATTTGTTTATTATATGGTAGGAGACAGGTGACCATGTATATACAGTGTATGTTCCTAGTTGTTTGTTTTGTTGTTTTTGAAATGTTCTAGAACCCTGTGATGTCACTACTGTTGAAAATATAAGTATAAATATATATTTCTTCGTATATTTATTCATATTAATTTATTTTAAAAAAAATTGAACAGTTATTCAATAAAAATTGAAAATTTAAAGACTTTTTAATTTCCTTGAGGTGCCCATGGTGGTGTTTTTACTGGAAGTTTTCTTTATGATTTCAAACTCTGACATGCATACTAGTAGTTTGTACTCTAAATTTCTACGCCTCATTTCCCTTGTTTCAAGTCATATGAACCTGTCAGTCCTGTGATATGCAATGTTAGAAGTCTCGATAAAAAGAAGCTCCACCTATGTACACGGATTTATATTACAATATAAATCCGTGCTATGTCTAAAAGCATATGAAGATAGAATTTGATATTATTACATTGGTTAACTAGGACACTTAACTCATTACTTCATATTCCCCTTTTTGAGGCCTCAAAGATTGAAAAAAAATCCCTCTTTAGACCCCAAACACTTGTTTTCGTAAGAGAAATGCTGCAAAAAGTGATCATTTTTCCGGCGCCATCTTCTATCAAAAAGATACGTCAAGGGGGTGCCAGAGGGGGGATGTGCTCCCTTCTGTTTTGGGGTTTGAAGGGGATCGACAGACCCCCTCATCGTAAAGAAATTTTTGGACCTGTGAGAGGCTAAAAATGGCCATAGGTCGACCTTAAGGTAATATGTAACCAACGTGGAAAAGCCTTTGACTGACGCTATCTCAATCCATTGAGAAGTTGTTGCACTTTGAAATCCGTTTTGATGGAAAAAATCAACGCAAAATAGTGATTTTTTGGCAATTTTAAGATGTCCCCTCGTTGCCATGGCAACAGGAAATTTAAGATTGAGTATGCGGGTACATAGGCTATGGTCAAGTCACATTTGTGCCAAGTTTGATTAGTATTGACGCCTGATTATACTTTCATAATAATTTGAACTTGTAACAGGGGGCTTTTCAACGAAAATAGCCATTTTTCACAAATGCCCATGAAGTAATAGATTAAAACAGAAAGATATATCAAAGACAACAAGAAATTCTCTAAACTCATTTTTGTGCAATTCTAAGCCTGCAAAATTCGTTCTAACGCTTTTCATTTTTTGGTAATTATGCACAATAAAAATTATTATTATGGAAATAGGAGTGAGCAGATGATCTGGAATCTGGCACATAAGTCATTGGTCCGGAACTTCATCAAATGATGCACATACCTCGAAAATACAAATGTATATCTCCAAAAGTGTTGTCAGAAAACCTCAGTGAAGTCTCTGTAAGTTGGTCTTAGAGCAACAGAAAATGACAGTATTAAGTTGAAGCAGGGACAACAATTCCCTTGATGAATAATGAAATGTCCGTGCTACAATGAAAATCAATTATTTTCTAGAACAGTTTTGGTAGGCCGATTGTTTTCTTCTCCTTTTTAAAAAATCTGAAATACAATACAATAAATAAAAAAGTAATGTAAAAACATTTTGAAAATAATTTGTCACCTTCCCATTTAAACATATTCTTATTTAGTCTTAATTATAAAGCAGTATAAGCTTCCAACGTTTTATTTATAAAATGATAATGTAATCAAAGTTGGCATCCATTGGAAATTGGCAATGAGCATAAACATACAAAACTAAGATTTGAAACAATCGAAAAATAATCTAGATTAGTCAAGAAGAATATCCTTAAAATACAACATTCGATCTTGTAAAAAGACACTTATTTTATGAAACAGCAATATTTTATTCATTGCCATGGAATATATAAAACAGTTTAAGTACTACATGTATCTAGGTTTCAAAGAAATCTATATGATGTTACTCTTTATGAAATAGTTGTCAAAATGACACGGAAGTCTCCACATTCTTATGTCTTGTCACAAAAATTATGTACAATCATTGGTACGTAGTAACAAAGAAAGAACACTCAGTTCCTTGAAGTATAAACACAAAAACAGTCAAATTTGATATATTTTGAATAGAATAAAATGTAATTTGCAAGAAATAGTTTATACCTTTTCCAGTGTAAGTCAATCTTCTCAATAACACCAATTTTTGAAAACATCTTTGTTTGTTCGAAAAAAATCATGTCTCGCTTGCAATTCGTAAATGCATCATCTCCGCCCTTTCCTACGTGTTCCCTTTGCAATGAAAGAAAATGAATATAGATGGTTTGAAAGTTAATTTTGCACATTTCTATATTCAAATCAGTTCCCATCTTAACAAAATAAACATATAAATAAATAAATGGGATAAAAACAAATTCTGAAGAAAATTGTAAGTAAAATTGTCGTTAAATACTAAATGTGCCGCACATAGAATTGTATCAATGAGGAAAACACTTTTATATAATATAATTGGGAAAATCACTTTTACAATAGGCATTTATGTCATAATTTAAAAGCCAGAGAAACACTGTTTCCCTGTTTTATACCCGACTCAGCCGGTAACCAATAATACGTAATAAGCTTAAAAGAAGTCTATAAAACCCAAAGAATCGATCAAAGAATGGAGTCAAAGAAATACCGTGGACCTAAAACAAGGATTGTTAGAAAATCTTCATATGGGTAAGTTGATCAATTTTATGAGTCGGGTTGGTTTTAGATACATTAAATGTGTTTGCATTCCTTTATGTGACTCTCACTATATAAATTTTTGAATACTCTACATGTTCTGCAGTAAAAAAAAGGTTTATATTTCGGGGTTTATGAGTAACTATTAATATTTAAAATTTATTTTAGCTTCTAAATTGGCTCGACCATTTCATAGAGATATTTATTAAACTTTTGCCCCAGTTTTAATTGACAAATACCAACATACGTGTACTAATAACGATTTTTGTTTACTTCATAGGCCTACAACACAATCAATATTCAACTGACATAGAGTTTAACATTTTTCGAATGTACAATTTTAGTTAAGTTTATGAATGGTATTGACATAAAGGTAGACCGATATCAAACAAAATTAATTCATTCGCATTATTTATGATTAGCATTTTCAAAACAAATTGGTTTAAGAGATCTAATGGTCGTAAGGAAAGTTTTTCAATCGACTCGTAAAATAATCTGCTGAGAATGCCTGTTTGTGTTTGTAATACATTGTGGACATTGACATGTATTGTAGCAGTAATTGTGTTTTATCATTTTACAACAATATTTGTTTGGACAGTAACAACTGGATTAGTTGCGCTAATCTTATTTCTCGTAATTAGTGAAGATAACCATGGTAACTATTGTTTAAGAGCTGGAATATTTGGATCATTGGCTGCTGTTGTTTTTGTGGTTGTGGTACCCATGTTGGCAAAGGGTTTACTATATGGATACACTTTCACAACATGTTACTTCAATGAATGTTGCGACGACAACTGGATCTCTCCAAATATCAGTGGTAACACTTTGTCAATATAATAATAATAATAATAATAATAATAATAATAATAATAATAATAATAATAATAAAAACAATAATTATAATAATAATGATAATAATAAAGACTTTATTTAGCAAGAGAACTCATTTAAAAATCATATGTCTTTATACTTTAACTATAATGTATATTGAAGAGACCATTAAATTGTAAATATAATAAGATTAGATAGTTAACAATATTATTCAATACTATATATATTCATAAAATAATGTTTTCATTTAGACTAGAAGTAAAGTATAGGAAAAGATATATACATTTGAACTTTTTATTATGAAAGCAATATACTTTTTTAAATGATGTTACAAAGCGTTTCTTTTAGGCCTTTCATTCCAACTTAACAAAAAGTTGTACGGTCAACACCTAGTGATTGGTCCTTTGGTGAAACATCTAAGAGGTCATGTTGAAGGGCAACATCAAAAAGCAACAATACTTTCTTTACATGGTCTGCCTGGAACGGGGAAAAACTTCGTGAGTCGCATGGTGGCACAAAACATGTATGTCAAGGGAATGGAAAGTAAATACGTTCATCTCCTTTCAGCAACGAAAGATTTTCCTCATGAAAGTATGCTAGAGGAATACAAGGTATGTTTAAAGAAATACTTAAAGTTCTGGTACTTAATATTTCAAAGTGTTTACAAAGTTAACCAGCTTTTACATTGATAAAAAAGAAAATGTACAAGATAAAGAACAGATTCAGGTGCAAATATTAGTATCTCCGTGAAGAATCTGAGTTACATAATACTTGATCACTTCCATAAAAATCCAAGATCAATTCGTAAATTCCTTTGTCACACAGGAGAAATTGAAATTGAAGATAGAAACAGCTGGTAAAGAATGTTCGATGTCAGTCTTTATCATTGATGAAATGGATAAATTACTTCCTGGTTTGATTGACACTATCCGCCCTTACGTTGATTACTACGACCACGTGGAAGGAACATACTATAAGAAACTCCTGTTTCTCTTCTTAAGGTAAAATACTTTCCTGTTCATGAATCCATTTATATCATTAAATTGAAGAGAGTCACTTGTAAAGATAAATAGCAGTATTCTCGTTACGTGCAGTATTTCACGAGAAAATGATGAGTATGAGCTGTGACTTCATATCCCAGGCAGGGAGGAATTTCCTGTTCTGTATTTATTAGTTCAATGTTTGCTGTGTCCATATCATCATGCAGTATATACTACAGCATGTAAATCATTTATATAGAATAAGGTTATTTCCTACAGTTTCGAAATCAGGAAGTTCAGTTAGTAGCATTACAACGGAAAACATTGAAGCCTTACATAAAAATATATTTTCTTTTGTTATTTTTTTTAGTAACACGGGCGGAGACAGCCTTGCTAAACATGCTGTACAAAATAATGCTCGTGGATATGACAGAAGAGATTTGAGACTAAAGGATATGGAAGAAATTGTACGGACGTCATCGTTACATGAACCGAGTAAGTTGATTATGCATTTATTTAAATACTTACAGAACTTACCCTTGTATTTTATGCCCTTGAAATAATGGATTTAGATCATGTAAGGTGCTAAATCAAATGAAGAATACGCACTGAATATGAAATAAATTGTCATAAAGGTAGCAGAATATCAATAAAAGTAGATAGATATTTGGCTTTCATACAAAATACTTAATAATCACTATAAGGTAACTAATGGCCAAAACGCAAATATATCAAAAGTTGACTATTTTGTTGTGATTTAACTTTCAAGGGATACTTCCTTTTACACTTTTTAAGCTATATGAGCGAGAAGTAATTTTTTTGGAAACTGTATCAGGACACAAAATAAAAAGCTTTTGAAAACAAAACGAAAAAAACGTCAGTTTAAGTAAAAGTTATGCCCTATTCATAACTAAGATGAAAGTGTCATTTACTAGTATTTCATATATACTTTTATTTGCAATTCCTTAGGAACTTAGAATAAATGCATACATAAACAATTTATCTCTAATGACATTATTTTGTCTTTCTCATACAGATGGTATGGTGAACAGTAGCATCGTCAAGAATAGCCTTATTACCGCTTATATCCCATTCCTACCATTGGAAAGGAAACATGTTGAAAAATGCATTGTAGACGGACTATTTGCAAGAGAATTTTATGCGCATGAATACCAAGTAGATTATGAATTAGTGAAAACAATTGCAGACGAAATGTTGTACTTTCCTGAATTCAATAAGTTATTTTCAACAACTGGTTGCAAACGTGTTATGGAGAAAATTGATTTGATTATGTTGGAAGAGGCATAAAATTTGACATTTTTATGTGACTGTTTTGTTAGATTTGACTTTCATTTTGTTTAAACATTATATTTTTTTATTTCTCAGAATATATAAATTCTCTTGTAATTCTGTTAAAAAATTGCTTTCCATGTATCTTCTGTTTGTGTTTTATTTTTTATATATAATTTTATGTATACATGTAAAGATGAGACTGAAATAAATAAACTTACAACAGGTGACATGTTCAGTTACCAAGTAATGGCCACCTGCATTCATCATAATTGTGTCTTTATCTGTACATAAATGTTATAATTTGTTGTTGTTTTTTATATAAAATGTCGAAAAGAATTGGAATTTTTTGTTAAATGATTCCTGTTTTGGTTAACATTTTGATCTTGAAGTTATCTTAAGCTTTATCTATACAATAATGTTATGTAAAACATTTAGGTCCAGTACTTTCATAATTATTTCAAAAGATAATTAAAAAATCATCTTTCAGACAAAGCGTTGTTTTTTATTTTCTGAATTATATTTATGAATTTGCATAATCAAGTTATTCAAGACATTTATTGCTATAAGAAATTAAAATATGACTTAGACAAAAGCGTTGAAAAGTAAAAAAAAATAATTTAAACAAAGTCAATGTTTAAACACATAATAATTATCAATAAAAATATAAAACCACTGAAAACCTGAATACTCTGAAAAGAGGACGTTTGGTCAAGTTCGGACAGGGTCTGGATTTCAGAGTTTTTACTGTACCTTGTAGTCTTAAGTCAGTATATTATTTCTATGTTAGTAACATTCATTCATCATATTCATTTCAAATTATGTAGAATAGTTTGGGCCCTATAAGCGAACCATTGCACACATCCTTCGTCACAAACTATGTATACTTTTGCTTATTTGACCGTAAAAAAAGAATATTTACATAATTTATCACTAAAGAAAGTTATTTCTACTGTCTTATTTTTATTAAGTATAGAAATTAATTGCATTCTTCTGCAAACAATGACACATATTCTTCGTTGTACGTAGTCTCATCTTTACATATAAAACATAGATAAATACATTATATAGAGGGACCAATGTACAGCCATATTATACACGTAATGTTGCAACTCTTTTAAGAGCCTTAAGATGACGATTTGGTGAGTTTGTTTGTACCAACATGCTATTATGTGCGTGAGGCATTTAAATTCGTAATAAAATGACTTAAATATTTCGAGTGAAAATTGAAAGAGTAGAGCTGAGAAGAAAAACTGTTGAAGACAATGATTATGTTCTTCATTGACATATAATACGCATAAGAAAATATTTTTAGGGACCTAAATGATCGCGCAATACTATATTTTACTTGTGAATACAATAACTTATTGTTACACTAAATCATTCAAGCTTTTCTGTTTGTATTATCGTCAGATCATTTAAAGCATATTTTCCTTGATCATATCTCGTGTTAAGCTATGGTGAAATAAAAGAAAAGTAACAAAGAAAAAAAAAAACATGTTAAAAAAGGGAAATAATTTAAAGTCCATCTTGATTATAGAAGAGACACCTAGCTATGTTTTGTTTTTCATATAGTTAAATCTTTTGAAATCTTTAAACAGTGTCACAGTGCATTTCTCTTACATTCATATTTCATTCGATGTTATTTTCAGCATCTTAATGAAGACAATAAATAGGTACAATTTAAATTGCATATTCATATGCATATGACAGACCCTAATGATGACACATACATGTTCTGCAAAGTAAACAAGCATATATTTCGTGGTTTATGGTTGTAAACTTTTACATAATTTAAAATTATTTAAGCGAACTAACTTAAAAGTAGGCGCCACATTTCAGTAGAGATAATTTAATATAACATTGCCCCAGTTTTAATTGACAAATACCCACTAACATGTACTAATAACGATTATTGTATTCTTTATAGGCCTACAACACAATCAATATTCAGAGTTAAACATTTTTCGAAAATACAATTTTAGTTAAGTTTAAGTCTAAGGTAGACCGATATAAAACAAAATACATTCATTCGCATTTTATTTATGATTAGCATTTTCAAAACATTGGTTTAAGAGATCTGATGTTCGTAAGGAAAGTTCTTTTACTTCTTCTTCAATAAACTCGTAAAATAATCAGTTGAGAATGCCTGTTTGTGTTTGTAATATATTGTGGACATTGACATGTATTGTAGCAGTAATAGTGTTGTATCATTATACAACAATATTTGTTTGGACAGTAACAACTGGATCAATGGCTTTTTTCTTGTCTCTCGTAATTCAAAAGAAGCATAGTGATCATTCTTTAGAATAAGGAATAATTTTGTCATTCATTGCTGTTGTGCGTGTGGTAACAGTTTTACATAATGGATTTACTTCAAAATGTTACTCCAATGAATGTTGCGAGGATAACTGGATCTCTCCAAATATAAGTGGTAAAACTTTGTCTGTATAATAAAATAGTACTAATAATAATAATAACAATAATAATAATAATAAATATTTAATTTAATGAATAAACACATTTGACCAGCATCATGTCTTATACCGTATCTTTATAGCAGAGACCGTTATATTGTTATTATACGTTTGGAAAGTTAACAATATCATTCAAAACTATACTATTTGTAATGTATTTTTTATTTAGACTAGAAGTAAAATACAATTGAACGTCTTATTTTGAAAGCATTTTATATTGAGAAATACTATTTTAAATGATATTCAAAGCGTTTCTTTTAGGCCTTTCATTCCAACTGAACAAAAGGCTGTACGGTCAACATCTAGTGATTGGTCCTTTGGTGAAACATCTTAAAGGTCATGTTGAAGGGCAACATCAAAAAGCAACAATACTTTCTTTACATGGTATGCCTGGAACGGGGAAAAACTTCGTGAGTCGCATGGTGGCAGAAAACATGTATGTCAAGGGAATGGAAAGCAAATACGTTCATCTCCTTTCAGCAACGAAAGATTTTCCTCATGAAAGTATGCTAGAAGAATACAAGGTATGTTTAGAAGAAAAACTTCAAGTTTTAGTACTTAACATTCGAAAGCTTTTACAAATTTAAACAACTTTAAGATTAAAAAAGAAAATGTACACGATGAAGAACAGATTCAGGTGCAGATATTTGTATATCCATGAAAAATCTGAGTTACTCACTTCGATAGCAATCCAAGATTAATTCGTAAATTCCTTTGTCACACAGGAGAAGCTGAAAATGAAGGTAGAAACAGCTGGTAAAGAATGTTCAAGGTCGCTTTTTATCATTGGTGAAATGGATAAATTACTTCCTGGTTTGATTGACACTATTCGCCCTTACGTTGACTACTACGACCACGTGGAAGGAACATACTATAAGAAACTACAATTTCTCTTCTTAAGGTAAAATACTTTTCTGTTCATTAATCCATTTACATCATTAGATTGAAGACAGTCACTTGTAAAAGCAAATAGCAGTATTCTCGTTACGTGCAGTATTTCAAGAGAATGGAATGTTTGAAAAATGATGAGTATGAGCTCTATTATTTAATATCCCCGGTAGGACGGAACTGTGTTTATTAGTTCAATGTTTGCGGTGTTTATATTATCATGCAGCTATATACTACACATTTAAGACGGTTATATGGAATAACGTTATTTCCTGCATTTTTAAAATCAGTAAGTTCAGTAAGTAGCGTTCAAACGGAAAACGTTTTATCATAGAAACCCTACATAAAAATATATTTTCATTTTTGTTTCAGTAACACGAGTGGAGACAGTCTTGCTAAACATGCTGTACAAAATAATGCTCATGGATATCACAGAAGAGAATTGAGACTAAAGGATATGGAAGAAATTGTACGGACGTCATCGTTAAATGAACCAAGTAAGTTGGTTATACATTGTATTTAAAAATTTAAGAACTTACATGTGGTTCATACCCTTGTTATAATGAATTTAGGAGATGTAAGGTGCAAAATGAAATTAAGAATATGCACTAAATGTGAAATAAATTGTCACAAAGGTATCAAAATATCATCACAGTAGATATTTGGCTTCCATACAAAAATACTAAATCACGTTAACGGTACTCAATTCCAAACGCATCGATAGCTAAAGATGACAATTCTGTGTTGTGATTGATGCTTCCGAGGGACTACCCTTTTTCCAGATTTTCTCAGCTGAATGACCGAGGAATATTTTTTTGGAAACTGTATCAGGACACAAAAATTAAAAACCTTTTGAAAACAAAATGAACATAACGTCATTTTAAGACTTAATGGGTCTTCTTCAAATGTTATGCTCTATTCATAACTAAAGATAAAAGTGTCATTAACTAGTATTTCATATGTACTTTAATTGCAGTTCCTTAGAGACTTTCAGTTATTACATACACAAAAAATATCTCTAATCACATTTTATTGTTTTTCTCATACAGATGGTATGGTAAACAGTAGCATCGTCAAGAATAGCCTTATTACCGCTTATATCCCATTTCTACCATTGGAAAGGAAACATGTGGAAAAATGCATTGTAGACGGACTATTTGCAAGAGGCTTTTATGCGTATGAATACCAAGTAGATTATGAATTAGTGAAATCAATTGCAGACGAAATGTTGTACTTTCCTGAATTTAATAAGTTATTTTCAACAACTGGTTGCAAACGTGTTATGGAAAAAATTGATTTGATTATGTTAGAAGAGGCATAAGATTTGACATTTTCGTGTGATTGATTTGTTAATTTTTACACGCATTAAGTTTAAACATTGTTTTTTTTTCAATATACATGTATATTTATACATGTTTCAATTTACAATAAACACAAAGTATATCAAATATTTTAACAAAAAAGGATTAGAATGGAAGACAAAGTGTCTTATGAAATTCTTCTCCATAGTGAGTATTTGACATAAATGTATAAATATTCTCTATTTTTCATTGTATGAATTCTAGTAGGAATGCATGGTTTTGAATATATTCATTCTGGTCACTTACTTTGAACCGAGGCAATGTTGTAAAAGTTATATTCAGGAAAATGTTGATGAACAAGAAAAGAAACTGTGACCTAGCTGTTTATTTTATTGATTCAAGATGACACATATTCTAACCTGACCAATGTAACATGTAAAACAAAGCTTGATGAAGATCAATAAAATATGTCTTTTAAATTATCAACATGATTTGTTGTTGATTTGTCCAGGTGATCAGAGTTAGACCTTAGTTAGCACATATTCCATTTCATCCAAGTATGAACATTCGACTAAAGTTTGGTTCCAATTGTGGCGTCTAGACTGTTAGAAAGATCTTTCTTTACCTCTATAGTGTTAGCAAGATTTTCTTTTAACTCTATAGTGTTTACAAGATTTTCCATTACTTCTATAGTGTTAACAAGATTGATTTTTTTCCTCTATAGTGTTAAAAAGATTTCCCTTTAACTCTTTAGTGCTTAAACGATTTTCCTTTACCTCTATAGTGTTAACAAGATTTTCCTTTACTATTTAAGTGTTTGCAAGATTTTCCTTTGATCTGACATGGTAACCTAGTCGTATTTCAGATTATCCATCTACAAACTTTTTAAAGATATCATTAAGATAGAAATCCTGACAAATAATGATGAAGACCATATCAAATTTGTTAAATCTAGAAAATTAACTAGGTTATATGTTTTATTAAGTGATTCAAGATGATTCAAACACATGCGAAATATTATTTCGATAAACCTTCTGACAAAGTATATTGCAGATCAAATGGCCTTTGGAATGTAAATATTTTTTGTTATTCAATTCAATCTGGTGGCTTTTTTATGACCCAAGATGACCCATATCTTCGATCTCATTCGAGATATCATTAATATTAACATAATAACAAAGTTTGATGATGACCAAATCAAAAGTTTTCCTTCTTCTAAAATGTTATCTATGTCTCTGGGTCTATAGACATGATAGAGGGTAAGTAATGTTTTTTTTTCTTTTATTTGTATGATGTAACTTTATGTTTGACCCATGACATCCTATTTGCGAACTCATCTGGGATAGGTCAGAGATTATCATTATGGCAAAGTTTGGTTTCAGTCAATTAAAATTATGACTTCTAAATTTTTTTCTTTGACCTAGATTTTTTGCCAAAGATGGCCAATATTCAAACTCATTTCAGGAACTACTTATATGCGCATTCTGATACAGTTTGATGAAGATCGAACCAACAATATGATCTCCTCAACTGTTGACATAGTACGGCGAATCGAATGACCTATGCCAACAGCTCACTTAAGAAACAGGTCAGATGAGATCAACATGATTAACATCTTTTTCTTACATCCATAAGAGCTGCTTGCACCCAGAGACAAATGAAAGCAGAATAAATAGAAATTTGGGCTACTACACGCATTTTAATCTGCAATGTAAAACTGTGGGGTTTTTTTTTGTCGCTGGTAAGGTATCATTTTGGAGTTTCAATAGACGAAAATGCTGTTTTAACAGATTTTTGGGTGATGACAAAGCATCTACAGATGTTATTTCAGGTTAACAAGTTGTTCCGTTACATCACAGACAAAGACACTAAAGACGAAAAAATAAATGAGTTTGCTTGCGAAAAGTGCAAAGTTATCGGTGTTTTCAAGATTTCGAGATTTTGAAGTGTATTGTGTTGCGTTTTGAACCTTCCTGGGAAAATTCATAAAGCGTTAGAATTATATTCCTCATTATGTATGTTAAGTTTGTTCTTCTCTCTATGTTATTAATTGCCAATAAATTTGTTTCGACATGTATAAAATTTTGAAGAGATACTAAACGGGTTAGAACGCATTCTATTTTGGATGCCTCTTCTTTTATCTTCTAGTGTATTTTTTATCTTCGTCCTTTATACTCCCATCCCATGCTACAAATCAAATTCGAAAAACAGGTCTAAGAAATGAAATATAAGTTTGGTTCAGGGTTTGTCTAATGAGGGAATGATTGGATTTTATCAGTATATCAAACCAGTAAGAAGCAAATAATGTTAGATATTTAATTCAATCATGGCGTTTCCCATTAGATCTAGAGAAAAGCCTTAAACGTGCGATTTTCAACAAACTTTACCGGTATGACCCTTTCTTAATTAATGTGGGTTGTTATGTGAAAACAGTTGATTCATTTTTGTTAGGTTTAAAATCTACAAGCCATTAAAACCATATGACTGTTAATCAAAGGAAAAACATGATTAAATATTACTTCAAGATCGAATAAAGGCGATGTTTTAAAAGTTGCCTACAAATAACACATTGCACATTTTCCATAAAGATATTTACGAAAACAGTAGGAAAAGTGGTATCTATAGCCACAGACATTGAGAGCAACAAAACGGAACATCACATTGATTATGTACTTAAAAAGGCATATCAGCGCATAAATATGATGAGGAAGATTAAGTTCACTCTTGACCGACATTTACTACAAACTATATACATTTCATTTATCAGTCCAATACTAGAATACCGGTACTTGTGATATAGTTTTTGACAATTGTACGCTCGAGCAAAAGACTGCACTTGAAAACGTCCAGTATGAGACTGCCCGTATTTTTATAGGTGCAACTAAACTAGTCTCTTTGCAAAAGTTTCAAATTTGTGTTGGTTGGTACACTTTAGAAACAGACGTCAGAAACATAAAATACTCCATCTCTACAAGATGAGGTCCAATCTAACGCCATTCCTTCTTTCAGAATTATGTCAGCCATCAGTTGATAACAAAACTTATCCCATCAGTAATCGTAAAGATTTTAGAACACCAAGAGCTAGAACATCGTTGTATAACGACTCATTTCTCTTTCACATCAAGTAGAGCCTTTAATGAACTTCCTTCGACTTTTCCCAAAATATAACATCCTCTCTTTATATATGTGGGTCCCGTTAAACAGCTCTTCCATTGTAGGTAATATGATATCAGACCTTCCTTGATAAACGTTATCAATACTTATTGCATAGGTTCTCATGAAACCATTATCTCAGGGACTACATCTTTATCAAATAAAGAGAATGAAAGTATATTTTGTATATTCAAAGCTGTTCACATTTGTATTGCAAACTCAAAAAGGTTTGACCTATCTGAAAAGATATATCTTCTTCATGACAGGTGCCATTCTACAGTCCACCCAATTTTATAACTTCACACTTATATCTTTATATTTTCTCATAATTGTTTTCTTCTTTACTCTGATTTCTTTCCTGATACCACTTTTAAACACTTTCCTGTGTTTTACTCTCTATTTTCTTTTTGTTTTAATTTTGTCTTGTTTCTTACAATAATATCAAGTTATTTAATCTTGATCGAATATTTTTTTTTCAATAATTTGTATTGCCAAAATCTGTACCGGTGTCTAGATAGCTAAAAGTGGAGAGACTTACAACAAACGTCTAGCCTTCAGTTCAATCCACTTTATCATTATATTGTTTAAATTTTGCGTTTAAACCAAATACAAAAAAAAGTAAGCGGACACACACGGTTTGACCTTTGACCACCAAATACAGCACGCATTTACGCACGCACAACTGAACCGTGTATACACTCAAAATGTCCCTTGCTGAATAAAAAGGCGAATCGATAAACCATTCTTTATTTTAGCTCTTATCAAACCTTTTTGTATTGACACTCAAAAAAGATAGTTGTTGAAATCTAAAATGGTTTTGAACGTGCAGCTAATAATAAACGATTTAAACAATTCCGTCTTACTTACCTGGGATTGAAGCAAATAAAACAGTTACTATATTTTTAGTCAAACAAGAGTCTTCGAAAGACTCTGGTTAAACACAAGTCATAAATCGTAATTAATTACGGAACCTAACGAAAGCTCTCCCGAATATTACACAACAATTTACACATATAATTAATTTTATGTATTTTGTAATTAACGGGCGACTATTAACGTGAACATTTACCTTCGATGTCAAGGAAAATAAAGAAAAAAACATAAATCAACCAATTTTAACCACTCATGTAATTTAAAGAAAGAACTGTTTTTTGTTTGTTTTTTGTTTTGTTTTTGTTGTTGTTGTTGTTGTTTTTTAATCTACATATAAGACATGCAGCTAAGCGATTGCATCAATTCCGCCTGTTCCGTCGTACTTACCTAGGATTAAAGCAAAGAACACTTACTATATTTTCAGTAAAAACCAAATGCATAAATCGTAATCAACTACGGAAACTAACAAAAACTGTCCCGAATATTGCCCAATTATATAAATTTATATGTATTTTGTACTTCACGGGTGGCTGATAACGCGAACTTATACCATTGATGAAAACATTAATGACATTATTAATCAGCATGAATGAATCAAACAAACAAATAAAAAAAGTCACGATTTTACGACAGATGAATCAGATTAAAAACTTAACCGCAGATAGAGGTACCCGGCTCATTAATAAAAAAAGGAAAGGCAAAAAATAAGAACTAAACCTAAAACGTAATACAAACATAATCATAATTAAGTTTGACGAGAAAAGAGATACAAGGGGACTTTTCAGTTTAGTTTAAACACTGTTTTCATTAAACATAATAACAGAACAGTAATACAAAGGGATATTAAAGTAAGTGTCTATTACTTGTTATATTGTATTAGAGATTTTACCAAGAGTGCAAATGTTCATTGCTGGTCGTATTTCGTCGGAACTAGTTACAACGCAATAGATTCATCATCATTATCATCATCATCATCATCATTTCTTCTTTTTTTTTACTTATTTGTTCTTTTATTATTATTTAACAATATCATTATTATGCGATCGAGAATTTTTTGGAAAGTGATAACAGTTGTTAAACGCTTTCACTTTTGATTAAATAAAATAAAACTAAAACCAAATAAAAAAATCAAACAAGCAAACAAAGATAGATTAGTAATAAATAGATTCAGTATATTTTTATTTTGTAACTTAAACAAGTTATTTCTCTTGTTACATGACAAGTAAACGAGTCGTAAGCAATGACCAAAATATTTTTTTAATTCAGAATTGGTTGGTTCCAGGAACAGATTTCAGTATTTCTATAAGCTTATTACTCTCCATACATTCGAACTAAGATACATTTTGAATGAACTTAATAAAGACATGGATGGTTGAACTTGCTGAAAAAAAACCGGCAACGTTGTATGAGTATTTTAAATGTGGGGTACGGTGAAGATTGAAATATTCTTTTTTTACATACCAAATCTGTTCTTCAATACATAACTTCTACATATTGGTTTTTGTATGAAACATTGCCGTTACCTTGTTTTACATTGAATGGTGCATTTATTTTTTTTTATTTTTATCATTCTAAATATTTTCTGTGCATGTTAGTTCGACCTTTCATATTCATTGTTATTGATAATCATTTGGTTAGCTCAGTTGTCTTAACCCTTAACCTGCTATATTTCTATGATGGATCTGTCTAGCTTTGAATTTGAAAGAGTCCATTCAAAGTTTAAGGGATTTCAATATTAAAATACAAATATTGAGCTGCCTACAGTATAGAGTCTGGTCAGACTGCACGAATGTGCAGGCTGGTCTGGCTCTATACTAGTGGCAAAAGCGGATCAATTTTGGTTTCATAATGTTAAGAGTTAACATTACGTGTACTTTGATTTGGTTGGTTTGAATGCCGATTTAAAAACATGTTGATCAAATATTGACAGTTGATCCACCATAACTGTTGTTTTCCTGGATATCAACCAGAAATTACCAATTTCTCCAGAAATAACCGACTACTACTTCCCCATGATTTCTAAATCAGTGGTGAGAGACAAAGTCACTTTTTGACTGAATATTAGTGAGAATTTTCTTTTGGACTAAATGTTAGTGAGAATTTTCGCCTCGCCTAAAGATTGCACCAGTAGACATATGGCTCTGAGCCAATCAGCTCAAATTCAGATCTGAGGCATTTGATTGGTCATGAACTGTCCCAGATTTGCAATGACCAATGAAAATACTTTGACTAATGACGGAACTCATGAATAAGTTTCATATTGACTTAATAGCAATGACGATACGATAATTTTTTTTAACAGTCTTATTATTTGAAATCAGTGATTGGTGGGCTAAGCCTTGTTTATATGCGCATGCGCTTACTGTATTGGATAAAAAAACATATTCTAAGGGGGTTCAAGATCAAACATGTTCTAGCAATCCGTATGATAAGGTAATGTATATCAAAATAATCTGCTTGTGCTAAATTATGTTTAAATATTTTTACACACTATTTGCCGAGGTGTAGTTCTTCATTTAAGTGTATAACTGAAATTTAATTTGATATTGCTATCTAGATATAAAAATGTTTATGAAGTAAAATTGATGTTATTATTTCTATTCTAATTGTTTATAAAAAGTAAGATGCTGATGTTCATTTTATAATATATTATATAATTGAAATTAAGTTTTTATTTCTATGGGACTAATTTTATCACTGTGAGCGTGTATATCAAGTAAGAACTCAAAGAAAGCTATCCTTTAGTCTTTAATTTTATATTTCTATGCAACAACACGAATTTGATTTTTCCTCCTTTTACAATTTTTTTTCGTTGCTCTTCTTCTGCTGTTAAAAACGTGACACGTTCCAGGTAAGTTATTTAAAAAATATTTTTATCTGCTTACTTGAAGCCTCTTTGTGTCAAATTGAAGATAAAAACCTACATAAGCGAAAACGTGAATTTCATACTGTTTTATTCACAGTTACCAGTGTTGTGTGAATCATATAGATTTCAGTTCTTTTGCTGTTTTTTTAACGCATGGACTTTCTAGTTTGAAACGATTTTTGTTTAATCTTATTTGAATAAAGTTTTTGTAGTCTACTCCGACAGAAATATCAATACATGTACATATATATTCTAGTGTAATACTAGGATTGTTCTTATGTTTTGTAAAATTAACTCTCAAGAATATTTGGGTGGTAACCTCACGCGACAATTACTTAACTTACTGACTTTGTTAAATGGATTTACCCAGTTTTGGATTTGAAACAGTCCATTAAAAACTTGAAGGGATTTCAATTCCAAAATACATAATTCCCGCTTCTATAAACGTAGAGTCTGGTCAAACCACACGAATGCTCAGACCGTCATGTTTAGATTTTAAACTGGTAGCAAAGGCTTTCAATAAGTAAAAGGTGAACATACAGATATTTGAGATGTGCAATGATTTTTATGATCATAAAGCAATGCTAGCATCTATGCATTTTATTCCGCACATTAAGAAATGTTAAATAAAACAAACAAAAAATGCATTGTCTTTGAATTGCTTACTCGATGAAAACTATGACAGCGTATTACTTTAGTGCACGTTGAAGATGATATCCAAATAAGACAGACATTCTTTCTTTATCGGTGTAAAAATCTGGAAACAAAGTGATCCCTCAGAAGCATTAATCACAACAAAATTACATGAAAATTGCAGACTCGGTTTGATTGAGTCTGTACATAGTATGTAAAGTAATGTTGAGTTCTTTTTGAAAACTCTAAATGCATTTATAATAAGAGCAAAATATCATCACTTATATATCTATATGTAATAAAAAATGATTTGATTTTTGCAGCTGTAAGCTAAGAAGATTGCGTGAGTTATAAATGTTTATTTCTTTCTTTCAGTTTCTTTCTTTCCATATAAACACAATTTAGATTGTCAAGACAAGATTGTCAAGACGGTTAGAGACCACCTGTTCCAGACGACTATAAGTGCTGGTACGATGGAGATTTCGGGGCATTTTAGTATTTTCGCTGCCCTAGTCTTTGTAGTTTGTTTGAATCTTCAGTTAGGGAAAACAGAAGCAATGCCTTATTTCGAGGGAGAAGATGAACAACCTGCAACAGGTAGAAATGTTTTAATATATAGAGGATATTCAAGTTTTTTTCTCTAAATACAGGATTTATTTTCATCGAGTGGTATGAAAATAGATAGTTTCTGTTTATTATGTACTGTAAATTATTTTTATTTTATTTTGACATTACAACTTGAAAGAATTTCTGTTAACTTTTGTGTACTGGCAGAATTTAGAAGAAAGCAGTCCGGCAAGACACCTGTGAAAATACAAAAATATGTTTCAATGCAGTGATAAATAATTTTTTTACAGTGAAAATATAGAAAACGAAATCACGCATTTTATTTCATCAGTGTTTCTTAATATTTTATTTATAAGTATATAATGAATATTTTTATTATATACTTATTAATGAAATATTGAGAAATATTGATGAAATAAAATGCGTATTTTCATTTTCCGTATTTTCACTGTAAACATTTATTTTTCACTGCAGTGAAACATATTTTCCGTATTTTCAGTGGTGTCTTGCCGGACTACTTTCTTTTAAATTCTGCCAGTTCACAAAATTTAAGGGAAATTTTTCAAATTTTAATGTCAAAAAAAGAGAAAAATGTATATAATAAACAGAAAATTTAAGTTTTTTCTATAAATACACGATTTATTTTCATCTTGTGGCATGAAAATTACCATATTTCACTCGTGGCTACCGCCACTCATGAAATATTTATTTTCATACCACTCGATGAAAATAAATCATGTATTTATAGAAAAAACTTGAATATCCTCTATATATTGATTTACATGTACAATGTATATATAAATATAATTTATTTTACGTAAGTTTTCACAGAAAGAGGTAATCTAGTTCTTACGGGTTTTTGTGCATGATATATATAGATCTTTTTTTAATTTAATACTGTGGGTAAATACAGAGTTGAAATTCTTTAAGTTATATTGTAGGATGTTAGTTGTTTAAAAGTTAAAATTAAAGAAGCTCCACTGAGGTCCAAAAACATAAAATTTGAAAATCTTGCAGAGATCATATGGGACACTTAAAACAGTAAGTTAGAAAAGGATAAAGAAGAAATATACACAGAATTCAATAGAAATTTAATATTTATTGTGGTTCTCAGTCCAATTTGTGTTAAAACAGTTTTCATATTTATATCATTTTCCACAATGAAGTGATTCCTCGCGGAAAAACAGGATGAGCTTTTGCAAATAAGTTTTTTGGTAAATTTCAAATTGTATTATAAAAATCTCGAAAAAATATGTTCAGACCCGTCATCACAAAAAACACAGTGGAGACTCGTTCTAGATATCAAACGATTTTAAAGATATATTTTGATTTTAATTCAAACGGGAAAATCATTGATTAATTGGATGTCATTGTGATTGTTTTTAAACGAATATACAAATTAATATTTAAACATATTTTTATCTAAACTCGATTGCGAAACAAGTTCTTGCAACTTATATTAATCACTTCCGAGTCCGACAAGTACTGGTGTCTTATGAAGAAATATGGTCCTGACGAGTTTAAGGCCCGAACCCATGATCACTGTCTTAAGAGGCAGACACCTTAACCGCAAAACTACCTGCCCTCCTATTCTTTTATTACGTTAACATAGAGATTCATGGGAAATTAACTAACTATTCTCAGGTCTCTTATATATTCGCCAGTATTCATTATTCCGTGCACTTGCTGTACTGGTAACTATGTTTTTGCATTTTGATATTGTAACCCCTTAAACTTTGGATCGAATGTTCAAAGTTCAAGGATTGGCAAGTCCGTTACATTGATTTTTCCTGGCTAAGCGTTGATTAGGAACAGTCTTTTTTGACGGGTTACTATACCAAACATAACAATTAAGCAGCTGTTAGTATCATTAGACTTTAGCATAGATGTTTCGGTATCGTTGCCAGAGCGATTTCTCTTAAACTCTCATAAGGATCATTAAAAAGAAGATAAAAATAAACAAGTTTGCTTCGAAAATATTTAGGGATATTCTTGCATAAAAGACACAATGAGTGGTTATAAATTACAATAATTTAACAAAATAGAATTTATTATATATATTGAATATAGTGTCATAATGAAAGTTTGTTTTACACTTAATTTTTTAAATGTTTTGAAAGATTATATGCCGGAAAAATGTAATTTTCTCTTGGCGCATTAGGGATAGTTTTTCTACAAAGAGAACTAAATTTTAAAAAAAAAAGATATATATATTAAAAGTATTAATTATCAAAAAGTTTCTTGTAAAATTCAATGAGCAAATTTCCCGGTTAATGTTTTGGTAAGCATATGGAAACATTTCCTCTACATTTTCCAAAGTCCTTTTCCAAAACGGGCATAAAGTATGTAAATCAAACAATTTTAAGACAAGGATTTACATAACAAAGTTTATATCATTTGATTAGAATAAACAGTATATAAACCTGCATGCCTCCAACCACAATATATGACGAAAATCAAACTTTGGTAAAATTTGTGCTATTTGCGCCAAATAATCTCCGTTATTTAGTCACACCGGTTCAAAAGTTTAGGGAGCAGTAAACTTTCGGTACACGGTTCACTCGGTCATATAATAGTGCATGGTGATATTGTAGCTATAATGTTAACTGTTACTATTTAATGAAACATGAAATATTATAACGTTATTCAGAAAACAATACGGTAAACGATTTATACACGGAATGAAACATCCGCGTAGCGCTAAGTAACGTAAATGATATTTTCCGATTTTTCTATGGACCGATTTGTTCACTTCGATGTTAATCTTTCGTTTAAGTAAAGTCGTATTTTGAAACGGAGCATGCGCAAAACCATTTTTGTAGACTGCTACTAATGATTTTACGCTTTAAATGAGATTCATTCACTGCAATCAGATACGCAAAAATGGATGCCACCAGCAATCAGTCTGAACACTGTGGAGAGGTCTGATGACCTCTCCAATAAGTAGGCCTCCAACAAACACTACAATATTTCACATAATTATAAGTAAATGTATCATTAACTGCAAATTATAGCTATGTCATGCAGAGCGGTTATTTACGATGGCCGAGGAAAGAAACTATATGGCGGGATTAGGGTCAAATATCTATCTGGCCAGCTGACCAATGAAAATCATTATTATTATCAGCACACTTAATGAAATCAGTTCATTTCCGTTTGGTCGATCAAAAGAAAGGACATTTTTAAATATAAACCCGATTCGACATCAAACTTCTTGTACTTCTTTCCATGTTTGTTAAATGGTATCAATTTTGTATCAGATATTCCAAATGTTGTCTATGCTGTTTATAAATGCTATTTTATGTTTGAAAATAATAAATATGGTCATTCAATTTAACCTGTAAATAAAAATACTATGAAAAATTTAATACTATCTAAGTGTTAATAAACTACTTGTTAACGTGTGCAAATCTTGATAAGAAAACCGCCATTACTATAAAATTATGTTTCTTTTATTAAACATTTGATTTTTTGATGGTCTGTTTTACCTATATCAGTAAAAATTACCTTTGCTTGGAAAAATTTTGTTTACGTACATTACATATAGAAAAGTAAAAACATACTAAATAAACTATGCAAAAAAAGAAAGAAACAAACAAAAAACAGGTAATCTATGACTTTTTTGGTAAAAAAATGAAAATAAAGAGGACGCTAGTCATACCACATGTATACACTATAGATATGAACAAATATGTGGAAACTTAGCGTACTTAATAAACTTTTTGTATTTGAGAAGAAAACAACATCATGGCAAAAACAAATATCCGTACCATGTTGTTCTTCATACAGCATTGTTTCATCATGATAAAGCAAAATTTGTTAAAGAAAAAAAAGCCACAAAATAATTAACTTATAATCTTAAATTATCAGAAAACAAGGTTGAATGTTGTTGTTTTGTAAATGACATTCACGGGTGATAACTTTTTGGCGTGGCATTATCGTATTCATTGACCATGTCCAAATGCTTTGTAACTATCAACGTTTTTATTATTAAATTTCAGTAACAATTAAGGCCGCAGTTACGGATGAAAGACAACGGCGGTCGGTTGACCAATTCCCGGACCAATTAGATGTTGATTTGTCAACTGAAGCAACCAATGAAAAGTTTCGAAATCTAAAAAGAAATTTTCACGTGCCCGATATCAAATACGTTCTCATGATGGAAAATGAAGCAGTTAAAAAGTTCAAATATGAGAGTAATGAGGTAACTAACATATTTAATGACCCTAACATGACGTCACACAGCGACATATTTTCAGCCTAGTAGTAGTAATAATGATGATGATGATGATGATGATGATGGTTATGATGATGATGATGATGATGGTGATGATGATGATGGTGGTGATGATAATGATCATCATCATCATCATCATCATCATCATCACAAAATCTTTATTTAGAGGAGGTAACATAAAAAGAGAATGTGTAAACCAATTTTCAGTACGGCATTCCACTTAACAATAACAAAGAAAGGAAAAGAATAATAACATATTTGTAGATCTATACAATTTTTGAAATCTTTTTATAGATTTACAAGTATATTTTCTAAAAGTTGTTTTTTCCCGGCTTTTTTTGGCGGGTTTAACTTATAATGAAAGGTTTAATCTATAACTTATTGTTTATATTAAAAGTATAAAGCATTAAAAAAAAACTCTTTGCCAATTTTACCTTAATTTGACAAGAAAAATGTAAAGTGTTGTCTAAAATTCGTGCGATATCTAATTGTTTAATGATGGAAAAATGAGCGTTAAAAATAAATATGAAATTGTAGGTCTAGAAATTTTATCATGACTTCACATGGAATATTTTCAGTCTTGATTTGTTTAATGAATATATAATGTGATTAATGAATAAAAAAACCCTTTCACAACTTTTTTTGAAAATTAACCGATAGAGATTTCAGGAAATCAAGTGTGACTAAAAATTTAGCTTTATAGAATTTTATAAGAAATTTTGTATAAGTAAAAGCGAATTCCATAAGCATTCATTTTAGGTAAAAACTACATTAAAGCAGCTATTAGTCCGGACATTTAATTACATTAAATCATTTTTAAATAACAGAGACTGTATTGAGAATAATAGATTAATGAAACCAAAAAAATTTACTGTGATAGCAGAAATTTAAGATAATAATAAATAATTAATTTTGTAATAACATGTCCTCCTTTGAAGCTATTGCGATAATAATGTAATTACGTTTGTACATTCATAAATAAATCATGTTTTACAATCATGAGGTAAAGTAACCCCATCTTCAAATACATACCCGTAACTATAATTATACTTATCGTATAAGTAAATCAAAACACATTCCAGATTAACCAATCATGATTGTTAGAAAACATCCTGTTTTCGTTGACTTACTTATTCATGCTTGACCAGGAAGACTTGATTTCCGGGTACCGTCACTCCCCCACCCCTGTTTAATGGGTTAAATCGGTGTCATATTTATATAGTTATGAAACATACAATATCTTTGTAAAATAATAAAATATGAGCTTAAATTGCTTAATCAATGTCATCAATAATATTTCATTTAAAAAAGAAAGATAAACCAAAAATGACGTCTGAAATTTTTCATGTGAAATCATGTACCATTCAATAAATCAGTACGACCTTATCACAAAAGATGTTTACTTAAAAACGTAGAAAAAAAAACAACTAATTTTTATTGCTATAGATTGATAAACATGCTATGACCGAAATAATTTAACTCGATATATATTTATGAATCAGCGTTTACCATATAATACCTATTACTGCATTTTTTTACATCTTAAAATTCTATCTGAATAGCAGTGAAAGCTTGGATATGAAAAAAATAATAAAAAACATGAAGTCGGCATCCTGGAACTAACAAGTACCGGTGTCATATAAGTAAAATAGGGTCGTGACTCTCGTTAGAGTCGAACCAACGATCCCCGAATCACGTCACCCTTTTCTGATTATGTCATCTCTCAGTGAACTATTTCAGCTTTAAGAAAGCAGTTGATGAAAAAGCGTTAAATCAGAAAATATGTAATGTATTTCATTTGATGATTTATTTATTTCAGAAATATGCATATTATCTTGATATCACATGTGGTGCGGCATTTAAAGTCTCTTTGAAGTCAGACAGAACTGAAGAGTTTGATATTGTGAGTATTACTTGGATACACAATCAAAATCACTTGACCTTTTCTTCTTAAAGCCTTTTATTTCGATAAAATTGGGATGGACACCTGCTTTGTCATTGGAAAAGCCCATTGTTATTCTTGTTTGATAGCATATGTACATGTAGTTCAAAATATTGAGCAGCCGACAGTCTGTTCATCTTTGCCTTACTTTTATTTTAGTGGCATAGATTATATAGAGCGGAAAACTGGGAGGCCTGACACCCCCTACACGACACCCCTAGACACAACACATACACCCCGTAGCAAGTTCTAAAGCGATGATAAGATACTAGTATTCAGTGAGCTACATTTCACATATAAATTTAGAAGCTTATTCATTTCTTTGTTATTTGATGTGTCATGTTTTCACTGATATACATTCTTATAAAATAATTATTATTTTCCAGTACGGAACATTTGTGTCTGAACATATTGAATATTTGGTACAACCATCGAAGGATAACCAAAGTACTTATACAGTATCAAAGATGTTAGAAAAACGTCCGACATTATTTGATTATCAAAGTTTGTCGGACACTGGTAAGGATATAGAGAATATTTAAGTTTTTTTTTTTTTTGATACAGGATTTATTTTCCACGAGTGGCGGTAGCCACAAGTGAAATATGATAATTTTCATATCACAAGAATTTTCCATTTATTATATATTTTTTCTCATACTTCTTAATTCTCTTGATTATTCCTTTATAATTGTGTGCATTTTCTGAATTAAGAAGAAAGTAGTCCAGAAAGTATATAATAAAAAGCTTTATTACGCAGTTTTGTTAAGTTTATTCGTGTGGCCATTATTTTTTATTTAATAACTGACTGATTGCCTACGAAATAACAATATTAATTATCATATCAGTTTGATATGTTTATTGGGGGTTTGACATTCTTAATGTATTTTACAGAACATGGGTTGGTGAAATTATTGAAACGCATGTATTGCTTTTCGCTTTTATCATTAAGTGACAAACCGCGCGATTTAAACATATTTTATTGCTCTTTTTGTACAACATATATAACAGTATAGTTTCATAATATTTACACAAAAGTAGCACGATTGTTCAATTGTTACGACTAATTTTAAAAGTTTTAACCAAAAAAACTTAATCTTAAATTTAATCATGACTTTCTTCTACAATTACGTTGCAAATTTAAAGTATTTTTTCTATGTTAATAACATTTTATTATCGGTGTTTGTTATGCGAAATAAATCACGTGCTTTTCTGTGAAATAAAACTCATTATAAAACGAAGAAAGCAAGTACATGTTCTTACAATTTAACGAGATACAGATTACTGCTGATATCATGTTTCGAAAACTAACTATGTATCATCATGTATCAACCACTCATGTCATCACGACATGTTATAAGGATGAAAGCAATCTGTTTTTTTTTTTTTATTCATCACCTCGTTTATCTGGTGTCACTTTATCTAAATTAGTACAAAACCAGTTACAGGTTTTGTCATATCCGGGTACTAGTTATTTCGTAACTTCACTTATGTACTGATTTTCGACATTATGTGTGTGGCTCCAGATGCCATTTGATCATTGCCAATAGTCTGTTCTATATATAAATTTAACAACTTTGATAAAAAAAATTAGTCAACGAATTTGGTTCATTTACAAGCGATTAAAAAAAGAAGGGAAAATTCACCAAAGAATATTGTAAATTAGAATATAATTCAGGATAACAGTCAAACTTGGTTTTATACTTGCAAATTGTCCCGAGATGTCTAAATAGTATGAGTTATAAACTAATAATTTTTCATCGAGCCTTTTTACAAAATGATTCGAAATCAAGATTTTATTTGTATTAGCGATTCATTCAATTTATTTCAGATGCCAAAATAATTCAAGAGAAGACACAAAAACGCTCAAAGCAGACGCCAATGACTGCAAGAGAAAAGCGGCAGACCACCGATTACGAGATAGAAATTTTCTTCGTGCATGACTTTGCAATGTATAATAGGTACTGTAGCGTTGTATAAAATTCATTTCCATCACGTTTATTGTATAGAAAATCGTTTATTATGAAACTATGTTTGAATCATTCATGATTTAATTTTAGCCTGGTTCCTCGATATTAATTCTCGGTTAACTACAGACAGATGCACAGTCCATTATTTGTTTATGGAGATAAAAAAACAAAACATTGTCTTTCCATTTGAAGAAAATGTAAAACAAAAATGATTTAAATTTGAATTGGTCTAAGTGTAAAGCTGCGTTGTGCATTATAGAATAAGTACTTTCCTTTTGAACCCAAACGTAAATGGGCCATTATGCTTCTCAACGAATTATCTAAACGAAAGGCACACGTATTTTTAAACAAATTGCCAAAGAACAAACCACGTTCACTGTCAGCACAGTGTTCTCGCTGTAAATCTTATTTTAATTTCTGTGTGATTTGAGCCGCGTCACGACGAAACCAGCAAAATGGGTTTGCGACCAGCATGGATCCAGACCAGGCAGCGCTGTTCGCTTACAAACCCTATTACAAATAGAGAAACTGATAGCAAACAGCATGGATCCTGATCAGACTCCGCGGATGCGCAAGCTGGTCTAGATCCATGCTGGTCGCAAACCCCTTATGTTGGTTTTATCATGACGCGGCTCACCTTAATTTCAGTTGGTACGCTACTACTGTGGGAGAGAGCGACAGACACGCTGTCACTGTTAATAAAATAATTCAGTTCACGTCTTTCCTATTAAATGCGGTAAGCTTATATTATTATCAATCACTTAAAAAAATGCTTTAATCATAATTAACATATGTGGGATATCAATTATCACTTATGTTCCGCAGTCTTAAGTTATCATTTCTTTTTCAATATGTTTCAAAATATTTTCATTTCATTGCACCCGATTTCAATTTGTAGAGCATAGGACAAAAATCGTAATTTTCCGTACACGTATTTGTTATTTATAAGCAAGCTTTGAGTTGCCAACATAATTTGTAACACTTGGGTTATTTCAACGTTCGATGACTTGTAAATGACAAATGGTCAGTTAAATATAACACTTTTGATATACTAATATGCGTTAAACTCGTTTTCCGTGCTATATTGTTTTTAAATAATATAAAATATTCTATACGGGGCATTATAACGTATGTTTCAGATTGATCTTCGGTACCAAACAGTGACCGACTATTCGTATACAATATCCTGTCTTTTTGCTGGAGTCTACATAGCTAATGTGAGTATCAGTGAACTACCAGTATCGGAACAAGAATCAGAAATTGCATAACCTAAATCCATTCTATCACGAACATTCATTCTATAAACAAATTCATAATGTAAATAAGTTAACTGATACAAAAATGACAAAGTTCTGCAGTTTGACATGTACGATAAGAAAATAAAGGTATTAAACTTTTCTTTTCTTTTTTGGTCACTGGTCTTAATTGTTCAATATTCAGACTATATTGATATGAATTTGCAAATGTATTTTCTCGCTCGCACGCACGCATCATTCGTCACCTTGGTGCAATAACTTGTTAACTCCTATATGATTAACGTTTTATATATGACACATTCATTAAGATCAAGTCCCATGTTCGTAACTGTAACCCTTACCAGTGTCCAACCGAGTCCTAAGATGTAATATGATAACTCTCTTATAAGATAACTCGCTATGTTTATTACTTTTATGCTATATTGTATAGCACACGCTTTTAAATAATAGTTATAATTTGTGTAGGTTTCAAGCGACGCTCCTTTTGTAGAAAATTACGTTTCCAGCAACCAAGTAGATGCTGACACGGTTCTCGGCGCCTTCCAGACATGGGGAGAGGCTGCACTAAGCGATTTTAACTACGACCATGCCATGATGTTTACTGCGTAAGATTCATTTGAATTTATTTGAAAATTCTTAACCTTTACCATACATAAGTTATGTAAAGTAGTGTTAACTTAAAACATTTTGTTTGTTAAATTTAATCTTGAAAACAGGTATGTTGTTTAGTCAAACATTGGAAAGGTCAATATTCCTGCCAGCTTTCAGAATCCCAATGTAAAATGGAAAAAATAGTCCGTCAGTCCGTCTATTAATATTGTTCGTTAATAACAATACGCCAAATTCTAACACAGCAAAAACATTGCAGAGATTTTCGATATATCCGCGGTTTGTTTTTGGCTGGGGCAGCTTTAAAATCAGAACAGATACGAGCATAATCACAGTACATATACTAAACATTTTTACCTTTCTTTTGTCTCTATCTGCCGAGATGATACATGTATTATTTTATTTTATTTTTACTTGGCAGCTATGATCTTACAAGAACGTCAGCCGGCGTAGTATCTTCTTTTACAGCAGGTAATTTAAACAATACACTGTATTATGAAATATAAAAACATTTTATCTATTTTTTTTACATAAACCTTAATTATATAATAAGCTTTTATCAATAAGTAACTATTTTATCAAATATATTCAAATAAAAATGAATACTCGGCCCTGTCCAAGGAGATACAATTTACAATTTATTCGACCTGTCCTAGGTATTTCAAATTAGAATAAATACTCATGCCTGTTCTAGGTGATTCAAATCTCAATTTATTCGACCTGCCCTAGGTATTTTAAATTACAATGAATACTCATTCCTGTCCTAGGCGATTCAAATTACAAGGAATATTTGATTATGTCCTAGGTGATTAGAATTACGATGAATACTCGGTCCTGTCCTAGGCGATTCAAATTAAAAATAATAATTGATCCTGTCCTAGGTACTTCAAATAACAATAAATAGCAATGAATAATCGGTCCTGTCCTAGGTGATTCACGCTAAAATAGATAATTGATCCTGTCCTAGGTACTTCAAATAACAATAATTAGCAATTAATACTCGGTCCTGTCCTGGTCATACAAACATCATTGAAAAATTGTTTGTGTCGTAAATGATTCAATTACAATGAATGCTAGGTCCTTTCCTAAGTGATTTAGATTTGAAAAAAGGCAGAAACTTAAGAAAATCTCAGTATATATAAAGATATCACACAACATTACTGTCAAAGATTAGATTATACAAGTTTATTAAAACAATCATTTACGTGCACATACGCATTTGAACCCATTTTAAAAATTCCATTTTTATTTTTTTCAATATGGTAGGTGATATGTAAGTTAAATGTGTTTCCTTAGTTAAAGAGATATAATGACGTTAGTGGTTGTGGCGCCGTTATATGTCGCAACGCCGCTAAATGTCGCACTTGCCGCTAAATGTCGCACCATTGACGCTAAATGTCGCAACCGCCGCTTAATGTCGCAAAATCATTTGCCGTTAAATGTCGCAATGCTAACGTTAAATGTCGCACGAATTTCCCTTACCGTTAAATGTCGCAACACTACCGTTAAATGTCGCAAGATGTAAATTCATGTTAAAATCATGTTTAAAGTAGAATTATATTACTTTTTAACATTCTCATAGTTATTTTGATTGTAATTGCCATTACACAAAAATTATCTTTGTCTTACTTGGTTTCTTTAATGAACCTTAATATCGAGGTTTTGAGCTACTATATAATGTAATCTTTAGGCTAGATAGGATAATTGATACTAAATTCTCAATAGATAAGTATTTTTCTCTTGTTTTACATTTTCATTTGTAACCCTGATTGACAACAGATTAAAGGTATTATGGTATTGTCACTCTCAGAATTTGGTTTAAGTAATTTCATTTATTTTCTCAGAAACTACCCAATTTACTTTAAACGTGGTTTAGTTGTTCACTATGATCATATGATGCAATATCAAAAGGCAGATAATCCTAGTTATATTTTGCAAAGTTATTCCCCTTATTTCTCTAAGATGTTTTCGCTCTGATTAACCTTTTGGTTAAGGCTAATTTCAAACATATTCACTTTAAACTTAAAATACTTATTTCATATGAAAGTACTAATGCATTTCTAAAGGACACATGACCATTGAAATACTATGCATTTCTAAGACAGATGACCTGAAAGGTATTTTTTCTAAAATATCTCCCTTATTATATTTTCAAAAAAAAAAAACATCACAAATATTCACTTCAAACGTGAAATATTGATTGAATATCAAGGCAAATTTTTTATTTTAACAGAAACGGCAAATACGTGAAAAACATAGTTTGAAATGCATGGTCAATACGAAAATCGAAAAAAAATATCATGTAGTACTCCTTGATCATGTAGTATTCGATCCGCAGTCGGGTGCTAGATATGAGCGAATTTTACGATTATATGCACCGGAATTTTTGTAAGCAGCCAGCCCGCATAGAGCGCGAGACTTGTAACCTCGACCTTGTTGGTTCTATTCCCGGGCTGGCCAACTTAAATTACTGATTAGTCTTTCGGATGATACTTTAAATCGAGGTCCCGTGTATGGGTGCTAAAACAACTTGGCACGTTGAATAGGGGCATCATTCTATATCTGTAATTGCACTATCCTCCAAAATATAAAATGACTTGTACTCTTCTGGAGGAATCGCCCATATGGGCAACCGGTGGCGAGTATAAATAAACGCAAATTCACACACAGTAAGCAGATGTCAAAGTACACAAGATTTAGTACATTTTACGATTTGTCAAACACTATTTACGCTTTGACATTGTGGCAAGTGATATTTTACTCGCCAAGTCGCTTTATACTATGAAAGATTCTGCAGTAACTATCATATAATAAGAATACAAATAATTGATTAAGCTCATATTGGCCTTGCTGTTTGGCTAAAGACAGCTAGTCGTTTTGGCCAGAGAATTTAGGCTTTTTATATCATTGCTTTGCTGTAATGAAAATCTTAATCTGTAACGCTTCATGATAAATATTTCAATGAAATTAAATCTGACATTTTTCGAAAAACACAAGACGTGAATTATACTCGTACATATGTAACGACGATATTGGTTAGATATCTGTAAACACTTTTATTTTCGTCCTAAAATGCGCGTGTCGAGTACGTCATAGTGAAGTTCAAATGACCATAAATACATACATACGCACAATAGTGTATTTATTTTAAGATAATTTTAAGAACTTTATTTTTCAAAAAAAAAAAAAAAAAAAAAAAAATGGAACAGATGTGTAAAGAAAACTTCTTTTTAATTTATTGCAACAATACTATGAATGACCACTGCCTTTCTGGCGTTAAAATGGAAATAAAAACACGCATACGACTAGCAAATTTGATAAAAGCATAAACTGTTTGTGTGAACTTCATCCTGGAAATTAAAATCTATTTTAGCTTTTGTGACCATGGCCCATTGGTCCCTTCCTCAATATAAAGGAAGAATGCCATGCAAGTTATCTACCTTCCAAATATGAAATACATTTGTCAATAAATAAAGGCTGTAAAAGTGTAGAAATCTATTTTAGAACTGGTGACCTTGACCCAACTGAACCATAACTCCATCCAAAGGAGAAGACCTCAATGCCATGTTCCTACCAAATATAAAAGACATCTTTCAAAAGAATAATGTTAAAACACCTGTAAAAATGTTAAAATCTATTTTGGCATTGGTGACTTTGGCCTCTACCCACAGGACCCCCAACTAAACCCAAAGGAAGAGGACCTCTCTTGGCATGTTTGTATTAAACATGAAATACATAATCTTAACAATAAAGGCTTTATGAGCAAAAATGTTATAAAAAATTCACACCAGTGACCTTGACACTAGAGACCCCTTACTCCATAAAAAACACGGCCATTAATGGTATCCACCTACCAGATATGGAAGATATCATTAAATAAATTTTTAAGATAAATCCAACTTACCGGAATAGGTTAACCATACAAGGTCTTATTTTCAAAGTGAAAAAAAGGAATATAACTTGGGAAAATGGGTGGCAATATCATGAACTTTTTCTAAATAAGTAAGTTTGGAAATTATGAAGCCATAAGTATAGACAGTACTTAAATAAATCCAACTTGCCGGTTTAGGTTAACGATATTCATTCTCAAACTGCTGAAAATGGCAATAACTTGATTAAAATTTATGCAATAATTATGTTACTTGCCATGATCAAGATTATTGTATTGATTAATAAATGTGTAAATTATGAAGCCCTTTGTACAAGTAGATTTTAGGAAAAATCCAACTTGCAGTTTTATTATTTTGATCGTTCCATTTTTTATAACATGACACCAATTTTAGGCTGCCAGGCTCCTAGACTGCCAGCTTTAGGCTATTAGACTACAAAGTTAAGTGCACTAAAGGTAAAGGCGTTTTTTTCCATAATCATGCATGTGTATGTGCTTTTGCATGACCTTTCATAGTGATTTTACTGTATTTTAAATTGTTTCCATATTTATAATATAAGTCACTATCTTTAAGCTACTAGGCTGCCGACTCTAAGCTGTTAGATTGCCAACTTTAGGTTGCAAAGCTGACATCGATAGGCTGTTAGGATGTTAGACGGCCTCCTCAGGATACTAGGCTACCAACGTAAGGCTTACAGGGCGTTAGGTAAACTCTTAAGGTCCAGGTCGTCAGCAATTTAGGGTACCTCTTCCGACTGCGAGACAATTTGGCTCCTCAGTCAACTAGGCCATCCGACTGCCACCTCAGGCAGCCTGTCTCTTCTGCCATTTTACAGACACAATTGTACTAAACTATTTACAGAACAATGCCAATTTTGCAGTTTCATACAAATAGTAGACAATTGTATAATTATCAATATGTACTTGCATAAGATCAGCTAAATATCGAACGCAAAACAATATACATTTATTTACAATATGAGTATTATCGCCGCCTAAATTGTAGCGCAGTTCCATATATAATAAATTCACTCGCTTTCAAATTGAGTAGGCAGATTTAATTAATATGATACAACAATAAAACTTGAGTTCAACATAAAATTACATCTTGCGACATTTAACGGTAGTGTTGCGACATTTAACGGTAAGGGAAATTCGTGCGACATTTAACGTTAACATTGCGACATTTAACGTCAAATGGTTTTGCGACATTTAGCGGCGGTTGCGACATTTAGCGTCAATGGTGGGACATTTAGCGGCAAGTGCGACATTTAGCGGCGTTGCGACATATAACGGCGCCACAGTGGTTGTTATTTAAGGTCTAGCGTATTTACCGTCGTATTATAACAACGGGGATCTGTATGCAGCCGCAGTTTGTGGTACGTTAAGGTATTCTATCAACGAAGGGGGAAGTATCATCGAAAGGACTAATTTAGACCCGACTATGGCTACAATTGCCGCTCACGAACTTGGACATAAGTAAGAAGCTTATAACACGTATTGTTTTTTGTTTTTGTTTTTTCTTTTCATTTTTATCATAAAGAAATGTCTGTAATGTAGTTAAAAATGATTGTTTTGACGATTGAACAATGGCACCTAACGCGACCATGATAATGAATATCATAAATGCTACTGGCGCATAAGAAGGGTCTTTGAAATCACATACAACTTCACGCCGTCAGGGCACAGGGCCGCTAGACCGCCAACTTCACACATCTGTTTAATAATGGCTTGTGTAAATGTACATTATTTCGAATCGTTAAATCGTTTAAAAATTCGTCAATAAAATACAAATATAATAGACCTGCAAGAACAAAAGTAACCTGTGTTCACATCCGTTAGTTACTTCATTTCATTGTTAATACAAATACTTTGTTGTTGTTGCTGCTACTGCTGCTGTTGTTGTTGTTGTTGTTGTTGTTTTGTTAAACATGTTTTGACCTCGTTTTTAGTCTCGGGTCGTCTCATGATGGATCTTCAAATACCTGCTCTGGTGGATATATCATGGAGCCGAGTTCCGGTGTTAGCAGTGATCCTTCAGATAACCTTAAACTTTGGCAGTTCTCGTCTTGTTCGCAGACATATTTCGATACCTATATAACCGATCTAAATGATGCGTAAGTTTTAAGTTTAACAACTGATTTTGAATCTTTGATTTGTCTATCGATTACTTCGGTGACTTAAATGTCAACAAAAAACTTTTCATCGATTTCAAACTGAATGAATTAAGTGTACTTGCTAATTGGACACATTGCGTCAGATAAAGTTAATAATTCAAAGTTGCTGAAAATATTAAAACATCCGTTTTCTTCTTTTCAGCTCCTTAAACTGTATGACTGTAAGAACTGCAACTGGCAATGATGACCTTGACCCTTACGTAAATGACATTGCGGGACAAGTATATAACCCGGATGCCCAATGTGAGCGGATAAAAGGTACAGGATCCTTCCTGTACAGGGTAAATATTATTTATTGTTCTTTATTCCATAATGTCAGTAGGACAATAGACCGTTCCATGAGGCAACATATTCAAAACAAAATTATGCACTGGTTTCCCGGCAGTTTTGGCCCCTAGCAATTTCTGGCCCGGTCAATTTTAACAGTAATTAACAAATGAGAGAAACGTTTGATTTAAAAGCAACACAGCACAAAAAATATATTTTTAAAGATTATTTTTGGCTGTTTAAAGCTAACTTAGGGAACTTGCTAGGTAATCAATAAGCAACACCATGGGAATTATAGTTTAATGGCCAAGTGCAAAAACTTATGTCGAATTCAATGTATTTTACCTTTTTATTCAGTTTCGGTTTTTGCTCAATAGCTGCAATACTAACCAAGTTTAACATTAAATTTGATATGCATCTACATGTCACATCAATTTTCAGGTAACAAAGGACAATTCAATGTCATTATTTCCTGAAATAGTTAAGATCCTTTTGTCACGCACTAATAAATTTATTTACTTCAAACTTGGTATTAAAAGTGACTCTATACCAAAAGGGTAGATAATCACATAATACTATTTTTGCTCATATTAACATATTCGTTGAATTTAATTTCTCAAAAAAAAACTATCAAATATTTCCACTTTTAACTTGACTGTAGTACTTGTTCAATATAAAATTTAATGTAATTGTAAAGGGCAAATAATTCAGGAAGTCATTTTGCTTAATTATCTTACTTTTATATTTTTTATAGTTCCTAAGTTTCGCGAAAGTTGTGTAAGAAAGACCATCAAAATTGAAATACTTTATTTTCATCAAGAGTAGATGATACACATTCGAATAATTAATGATCTATGATTTCTGAAAGCTTAGATGAGCCGCGTCACGACAAAACCATCGTTATGCGTTTGCGCGGATGCGCAGGCTGGTCTGGATCCATGCTGGTCGCAAACACATAACGTTGGTTTTGTCGTGACGCGGCTCAAATGAAAATATCAATGTGTCACCAGACATAATCTTGTATGTTTACATTTAAGCCCTTTTACAATGACGATTATTCGAAAGTATGTGCAACAATGGCATGTGCCTCGGCAACTACTTCCGGTAGTTATTCCTACTCCGTGGCGTGGGAAGGAACAACGTGCGGAAATGGCAAGGTAAAAATTAAAATTGTTTAAGTAAATTAACTGGAGCATAATTAATGTTTATTGTTCGATGTTTTAAGATTGGTAAATGTACAAACTCAATAAATGAACGAATGACTTTATCATTCATTCATTAAATCACTCACTCAATCAATCAATCAATCAGATAAGTAATTGTTTAACTGGTAAACTGACTTGTTGATTTCTTAGCTCCAGTCATGTTGAAATTTTGCAAATTGCGAAACTAATGGACACAATCATGTATTCAAGTGAAAATGTTTATTTAATCAAATAAATAACTAGTAAGCACATAATTTACGCAATTGTTTGTTAACCGTAATATGCCATCATACATAAACCTTAAGTTTTTCAACTAATTGACTAAGAATTGTATCATCCTCAGATATGTCAGTCAGGATCTTGTGTTGTATCTCCTGGGGCACCTCAAGTAACCAATGGTAAGTGTGATAACGTTTTAGGTGACCAATGGTAAGTGAGATAACATTTTAGGTGACCAATGATAAGTGTTATAACATTTTAGGTGACCAATGGTAAGTGAGATAACATTTAAAGTTACCAAAGCGAATAAACAATTTAAAAATGAAATAACCATTCTCTTGAATAAATAATTGTTAGCGTTAATTAAGCCTGTATCCTGTGAAAAATTGTTAAACATCCAATTATTAATTAAACAAGTTGCTGGCGGCATGCCAGCAAGTTTATATTCCAGCATATATTCCGTAAACGAATTTATACTTGCGATTCACGATGACAAACAATAACTTTATACGCACATTAAGACTACTCCAGTACGCAAAAAAATAATTCAAGCAAAAATTCATCATCGAAAAGGAACTCTTCACTATTTTGTTTTAAGAAATGACCTTTGAATATGGAAATATTCTGTAAAATAAACAACAAGAGAATAATAGATTTTTTATGGACCGTATAAGGTAAAGAAACATTTTGCTATTTGCGCTTGCTTCGGTTCTTATACGGTATAAACGGCATAATACACAAAGTGTATCAGCCAATCAGAATCCGAGAAATTGATTTGAATCCTTTATATATACATTATGTATATATCGATCATTTTGCAGAAACGTGTCCATTTGGAGATGTTCCATTCAACGTGCCGTTCCAGACAACAGGATGTTCAGAGTTTCTCGGCGCACATGCAAAATCTTTCAATTGTTACCAAGATATTTACAGGGAGAGCTGCTGTGAATCGTGTGAGGCTATTCGACAAAGCAACTTGGCGTTTACAGGTATGTTAAAGTGATTTCACCTATAAAGCCTTGTTATTTCGAAAAATTTGATTCTGCTAGCGCTATTGCAAAGCACAGTTTATCAATGGGTGTGGGACCAAGTCCTACCCCAGGGCCCCACCCCCAGTAAACTCTACAAATTAGTATCAGAAATTTGTTTTTGTTATAATTGTTTGATTTTGTATTGACATGTTTTTTAATTGTTTCAAATACCAGTATATTTGGGTAGTATTCATGGTCCTGGTGGGCGGGTACCCTTGGGGTAGGGCTTGGTCCAACACCGGTAACCTCTGTTGTAAAGAAGTTATTGCTGTTATGTACTGAGAATGGCTCTACAGAGGTTACATTGGATGTCTCTTTTCTTTCAGATTGTGACTATGGCGATAAAGCCGGATGGTGCTCAGGAATGACGTTATCAAGTTGTAGATACAACAGCAACACATGCTGTCGGATATGCCAAGAATTGCAACTAGATATTCCAGGTAAAACTGATAGAAAATTCAGAGTAAACAATAGATCGTGACGACTTGGCATATTACGTCACTTTTCGTATCGTTCATAGGCTTGTATTTGAACTTCAATATCGTAACTGTATAAATAAATGTGTATTTGAAGTAACAACTCGGCATATTTCGTCACTTTTCGTATCGAATGATATAGATCTATACAAACTGATTTTGTTCTACTAGTATACTAAACATAAACAAATATGTCTTTTAAAAAATCGTGGTCCCACTAGCCCAAAAACCTACGTCCCTGCCTCAGAAGATTTGTCTTATCATCAAATGAAGCTTTCTTTTAGTCCGTTTGTCATTGCCGAATCGCTAAATGTTGTATTTCATTTTCATCTTTTTAAAAACCTCAATCTATTATTCCTTATCCGTAGAATGACGGAAAAGGCCGAAAAGTTGCGATTGCTTAAACGTATGATACTGCAGGATTTTCAAATTACGCATTAAATACTTTAATGAACTTTGAGATAAGATATTACTTATTGTATGAAGTCACCCATTTTCCAGATTGCATAGAAATCCGAAAGGTTAGCATTGCACATCGTTTACAAACAAAATATAAATGAATGTGTAGTTCTACTATACAGTTATGCAAAGTAGTAACTGTAAAGCAAACTAATAATAGTGTATTAAATATACCTTTGAAAAAAAAAGTGTCAATGGGTTTCATAAATGTATCGCATTAAAACCTTTAAAAAAGTACAGATAATATAGCACTATGCTGTTCTGGATTACAACAATTTTCAATCATGTTTTAAAACCAGAGAATGTAGAAATATTCTAACCGCAGCCCTTTCTCACTTTTCTTAAAAAATTTCAAACGAAGACAATTTTTCATGCCATTCGAGGATATACGTGTCGGTTATACTTTGTAAAAACTTTCCATTCTATTAACTATTGTAAAAAAAATATTTCAGGTTGTCCATGGGGTGATTTGTATTCTACCTGTGCAAGTTTACCATGCAGCACTTATTCTGAAGAATGTTGTCAAACTTGTGCACCTCCCACAACTACCACTACCCCTACAACAACAACGACAACAACACCTACAACAACGACCACTACCCCTACAACAACGACAACAACACCAACAACAACGACAACCAACACCTACAACAACGACGACACAACACCTTCAACGACTACAACAACACCTACAACAACGACAACAACACCTACAACAACGACAACAACACCTACAACAACGACCACCACCCTACAACAACGACAACAACACCTACAACAACGACAACAACACCTACAACAACGACCACCACCCCAACAACAACGACAACAACACCTACAACAACGACAACCACCCCTACAACAACGACAACAACACCTACAACAACGACAACAACGACCACCACCCCTACAACAACGACAACTACACCTACAACGACGACAACAACACCTACAACAACGACAACAACACCTACAACAACGACAACAACACCTACAACAACTACCACAACACCTACAACAACTACCACAACACCTACAACAACGACCACAACACCAACAACAACGACAACAACACCTACAACAACTACCACCACCCCTACAACAACGACACAACACCTACAACAACGACCACTACCCCTACAACAACGACAACCACCCCTACAACAACGACCACCACACCTACAACGACGACCACAACACCTACAACAACGACCACTACACCTACAACAACGACCACCACCACACACTACAACGACGACCACAACACCTACAACAACGACCACCACCCCAACAACAACGACCACCACCCCTACAACAACGACCACTACACCTACAACAACGACCACCACACTACAACAACTACACACCTACGACCACAACACCTACAACAACGACCACCACACCTACAACAACGACCACTACACCTACAACAACGACCACTACACCTACAACAACGACCACTACACCTACAACAACGACAACAACACCTACAACAACGACCACCACACCTACAACAACGACACTACAACACCTACAACAACGACAACCACACCTACAACAACTACTACTACACCTACAACAACGACCACTACACCTACAACGACAACCACTTCACCTGAAACAACGACAACTACCCCTACAACAACTACCACTACCCCTACAACAACGACCACTACCCCTACAACAACGACCACTACACCTACAACAACGACCACTACCCCTACAACAACGACCACTACACCTACAACAACGACCACTACCCCAACAACAACGACCACTACACCTACAACGACGACCACTACACCTACAACAACGACCACTACACCTACAACAACGACCACTACACCTAACAACAACGACTACTACCCCTACAACAACGACTACTACCCCTACAACAACGACCACTACACCTACAACAACGACCACCAGACGTCGGTTTAGAAGACCCAGGATAATAATTTATATATGGAGATTTCCAATCAATACGGCAAATACAAATCTTAATGATGGATCTGTCGTACAGAATGTACAAACAAGGGTAGGTAATATTTACATGTTTAAACATTTACATTGTACATGCAAGTGTGCCACCATTTTGGCGTTTATTTAACGCCTGATGTTTAGTCTTATCCATGCATTGTCATGCCCTATTTGGATCCTTTCGAATCGAGTACCAAAATGGACCTGTATTCGGTGAAATGGACTTCATTAATTGCGGTGCAATATACGGCTAAAAGTATGCATAGCGTCGAATAAGCTCTCGCGATATATAGGGCGATATCGACATAAGCAATGTTTAAAGGAGACATTTCCCTGTGTTGTTTCCATGGTTTTCCATAGTCAGATGATTCTTGGCCTGATCTTTGACTTTTTCTTACTAAAATTGCATTTTATTCGTTTACTTCAGACATTAATTAGTATATTAATCTGATCATTTTATCCCAAAAAATGTAGGAGTTATCTGCTCGTTGGCCCATGATTTTCAATAAGATACATTAATTTTCGTAAAATTAAATTTTGACATACAGACAAAAACGAAAAGACAGATGTTCAAACCCCGTAAGGGACAGGTCGTTGTTTCCTTGAGCAAGAAACTTTACACTCATTGCTCAGTACTGGTTGGTTCCAGGAACGGAATCGAAAGTGTGTCTATAAGCTTATAGCTTCCCACACAATCGAAGTAAAATAAATTCTGTATAAACCAAAAGACAGATGTTCACGCAAAGTTTAAAGTACATGTATCTCACATAGTAGCACTTGAGAGAAGTGCTGCTCTTGAAGCTTTGGGTTTCAGGAGATTTTTCTGGGGGTTTTGGGTTCAGAAGGGGTTTTGAAATTGCCCTCATAACCGGCACCCCTCTCACTACTGCTTAGAAATATTAACCACATTTTTTGCAAAGACAGATACATCGAAGGGCACCTATAAACAGCCAGTAATTTGTTGATGAAAAAATCTTTATTGTGTTTGTCTAAACAATGAATGTATTACCATAAAAAGTATTATACATATTACTTTGTATCAGATAATTTAGGATTTATATCCGTTACTCCGAATACAGCTCCTCGTCATATTTTGGCGCACTATTCGCACTGTGTCACACGTGTGATAATTGTGTCCATATTTGCCATATGTGATCACAAGGCCCAAGTACTACTTTGTCAATGCGTACTTAGAGTAAAAATATAGATCGTTGCCAGAACAAAAATTATGCTTTCTTGAATGCTATTTTATGGAAATACTTTGACAAATACAAATGTGAGCTTGTCTAGGGGAACATGTGACAATACGGTTGATATGGATCTAGAAAATAACATTTTCGTAGCAGCTACATGTAGTTAGTTGCCCTGATCTGTTCAGAAGCGCGGAATGTCATAGTAACCGTGATGGGTTAAATTGAACCATCCACCCCAATGCAGACTATAAAAATATCATTTCAGAAATAGCCGTTATCAGTATTAGTGAATATAACTCGGAGTACACTTCTCAGAACTGTTAAAAGTATTCGCAAACGGTTGTTTTGTTTTAGTTTTCGTTAGAGTATTACCCTGGAAGAAATTTAATTGATTGGCAATATTGCAAAATCCATTTTATGTCACGACAACAGAATAGCTATGAATCATACAAATCATATGTATCATACTGGGAACACTTTCATCTGGTTCCACTCATAAACACTGAACATTGTACGTGACTACGATCTGTGTACATTTGTTATATTTCTTATCCGTTAAATGCTGGTAAAGAAGACCATACCATTGTCACCCGGATATATAATAATTCATGCGCATGCTGACAATTCTATTTTGGGTGATATGTGGTAATATTTAGATACTTTTTTCAGATATTCATATTTATGAGACGATATGTCGGAGGCAGAATAAGAAATTTGAGGGTTTTGCGGCTTCGGTAAGTAAATACAGTACATATACGTAGATACGTCATTCATTAAGCTATAAATGTTATTTAAGGGTTCATAGATACATAATTGTTATGCTCCTATCATATATGTATAATTCACAGAAACACACTGGTTTGTCAAGTATATGTGCTGGGATTGACAATTTACATTTTATTTGGATTTTAAGGCCGTACATATATATAGAACCTACTACTGTGTTTTAGACGTTGGCAAAATTTGATAAACTAAAGATGGACCATAGTCAATTCAAAATTTCTTAAAATAAAATGCCATACATGGAAAAAGAAGCAAATAGTAGTATGTTGTATATTTTTCACCTAGCCGTGGAAGTCTTATTGTGGATTACGAGTTAGAAGTTGAAGACGATGCAGATGTGGCAAGCGAACTAACAAAGGCTAATTTAGATCTGGTTACTGGTAAAGAGAATATCACGTTGTTAAATGAAACAGTCTCGGCAATGTCAGTTCAGATCAACGACACTATAGGTAATATTGATTACAATAAAACTAGTTTTAAAGTTACATTTAATAAATTTCATAAAAACAGAAATAACGACATTTCATTAATAAATTGGGTTTCATATTGAATCCAGATCTTATTTTGGTGTCCAGACTTCCAAAAGGAGTTTTATTGGCAAAGAATGTGCAACCTCATTGTGGCGTATTCGGAATTACAATTTCTGTTTGCATAAGAAACTCCGCCTTCTAATAATCCGTACATCAATGTTAAATCAACAAACATGCCTATAAGTAGTAGTCCTAATTTAACGGTATATTTCCGCATTGAAAATTGAGTCATGGCTGATAAGGATTTAAGATGAAATTATGGGACATTTCGCCTTGTGATTTAAAGTGCAATATTTAAAATGTTTTCCTAGATAAGAATTACGGTTTTCCCATTTACATATCTGAAAGTGTATGAAATTAAGCATAAAATCAGAATAAGAGTCATATTAAGATAATAAATATATGGAATAGGGGATGGGATGGTTGCAATATTTCAATGATTAAAGATATTGATAAGCAAGGTATATACTAACAGCTTGCCGCGAAAAAGGTGAGAGGAAATATTGGAAATATTGTTTGATATGTATACATTTCTATATGAATATTATTAGGAATTAACTTTGCAATTTTCGTTTTCTTAAAGTGACCAATGAAACGGCTAGAAGACCGGAGACTATGTGTAATCTGTTCATATTGACAAACGGAGTCTGTGAGGAAAATTACCACTGTGCAGTTGAAAAGGGGATCCCCTTTTGTGTGTAAGTAAATGTATATATACATGTATATATAAGTTACGTAATTCTCTCGCATTAGGTTAAAATCAATCAAATAGAAGTACCTTTCAAAGTCCCTAATAAAGTAGGTAGTGGTGTCAGAGGTCTTCTTGCATATCCGATTATATCACTGTAGGTGAACGAAATATCATTGTACCCTGTCTTGCGAGCCTATACAATTCTCAGAGTACCCTGTACCCTGTCTTGTGATAACATGCACGTGCTACTTTCAATCACTAGCCTATATATTTTAAAACTTGAACATTTCTTGCGATTTGTTTATTGATTGTGCATATTTTCTAGTGCTTGAACCCGTGCTGGAATGTGTGGAATGATAGAAAGAATTTTAATCAAAAGTTTTTTAGACATAAAGAGACAAAACATAAAGGGACAAAGCTATGAAAACTTATTGGATTGACTTGAATATTTGTTTAGAACTATAGTTTATAAAAAAGGTACATAAATATGCATAAATTTCATGTAATTATTATGCATTCATTACTCTTGCATGTATTTTCAGCATAAAGGAAACGCAATGTAAGTATTTACCTTAATTCCGTTGATTTCACTCTTTCTTGATTTTTTATGCAGCATTTTATTTAATGAAATTAATTTGTTTAGTCAGTATGTATATATCCGTTATTCCAGGATAAATTCTAAGAGTATGAAACGTTAAATTAATAACAACATTTATCACATACCCGTGCCGCTTATTTGCGACTCCGTAAAAGTTGTATTGCACGGCCTTGCATATTTTTTGACATGACGTCATATGATTCTTTTTCAATTTAAACACTCTTTTTGGGGGGTATGTGATAAATAGAATATTAAATTTGTGTAAGTTCATTACTGAATTTATTGAGCTCGTTGGATGAAATAATATTATTCAACTCGTTCAATAAATCAAGTATTAAACTTACAATCATTCAATATCCTCTATATCTATAAAGTTTTTTTGTTTTTGTTTTTATTTATTTATTTATTTATTCTTTTTTTTTTTCAATAATAATTCAATTTTATCACGACTCACCAGGTCAAACAATGATTTAGTACAAATCAATACAAAATGTAGGCTGAGTGTACGAAATAGTTCTACAAAAAAAAAGGAAATCAGATTTCGATGTGAAATGGTTCAAAATTAAAAAGTATAACACTTTCTTTCCTTCTTGGTTTATTTCAGTTGGCCTTTCAGTGTTGGTTGCTATTGGCGTCTCTTGTTTCGTAGTCCTTCTTGTTGTCGTATCTGCTCTCATGTGTATGACCGTCCGTATGTACAGATTCCAGAAACTCAAACATAGACTTGCTTCGCGGTCAACGGGAAGTGATTCAACAGAGTAAGATTTTCAAATCTTTCTTGTAAAATCTGATTGTTTTAACATGAAACAAATGAGTCAGAATGAGACAGAAATAATGAAAACAATAATAGAAAGTCATTTTGGCACTGTGTTTGCCCGACGCTTAAGTCATTTTAGAAGCACGTTATGATGATACCGTGGTCTTTATGGTCTTTAATTACAGCCATTTATTTATTACTACACAATTTTTGCATTACGTGTCCATGTATCAAGACACTGTATCTAGACATTCTTGTGTTTATTCTCTCTCTCGGGGATACAGACGTTTGATTCTTGAAAGACTGCGTCAATTTTCATCAGTTTGTTGTCTCTAAGACTTGTCCCCACCCATTTGTTTTGAATCTACACCATTCTGTCATGAGATATTAAAATATGAAGATGTGACACATTCAAGATGAAGGAAGTTGTTTACTCCACCATTAGTATGCAAGTTGGTATACAAGTTGTAATTACGATTCAGTACTTTTTAATGCTTGCTTATTTGACTTTCTTTTCTTCTTTTCTAGTTCTGGGGACCATGATTGGCCACACAAACGCACCATTGTTCCATTTGGATCTATCGGTGGGCGGCAAGATATGACATTAGGTTACCTCCCTTATTCAGGGGAGGTAGTCGAGTATAGCAATGGCGGATACGTTTCGGACTCGCCGAGATATAGTCATTCACAAGATAGTAACGGGTACAGAGAAATCAAGGTACATGGCAGACATAGTAAAGATGAGAGAATGCACAAGAGAAGGAATTTACATAACTACGGTAAGGCGTTTGTAAGTAAGAGAGTCAAGTTTGACATGAAAATTCAATAGCCTGTATTGAAGAAAATCGTTCACGCGAATGAAAAATATTAGTTCCTTAAATGCAAATGAATATTTTCATATACATTCAGTTATTTGTGAATCAATTAAATAAAATTTATATAACATACTTTGTTAACTTAGTCAGAAATTCTTTCCACTGTACTGCAGCATTTATAAAAAGCAATGTACCAGGGGCGGTAACTAGAGTCACCTTTTTTGCTATGTTACCCATAATCTATTTTTATATTTTACAGGTTATGACAACCGAGCCATGAACTATGATCAAAGTTTGTCAGACAACTATCTTTGAGAACGAAAACGGTAATTTCTTATTTATTTACTTTATTTGTAGTAATTTTGTATGAATGTACATAATTATGTATGTTCTTTTGAAGAAGAATCAATAAATATCTTATAGAAAATCACATCTTGATGATGGTAGAAATTGATTGTTTAAATTTGATATCATTAGGTCCCTTCCGTAACTCGACAGGAACTGTAACACGCCATTTTTCGCTTTTATTATCCCCCTTTTCTACCTTGTCTTTGGTACATGTATGAAAGCTAATAGCGATAACGTAGCGGTCAGCTAGATACTTATAATACTTATAAATGCTATCATTTTTATTTCTCAAAAACTTTTCATTTTTGATATATAGTATTACAGAAATAAAAAAGTTATATATTCAATGAATTGGCCATATGAAGAACTATGTTTAGCTATTTGGCTATTGATATAATTATAGTGATTTAGTATGAACGTCAAACTACTACTTTGTTTAAATTTTGCTACATTTACTACGCATTACTCCACATTTATGGCTACTCTCGTCAGTTGTTGCTCTAATTCCATTATTGAAACATTGTTAAACACATGTTTAAACCTTTCTAAAAAATATTGATTTCTGAGGCAAAATGTGGCTTTCAATCAGTACAGTTAGTTTTATTCGATCGAATCAGAACCCGTTCTCCTTTGTCAGTTCTTGGACAGAATACAGATATTCTGTCCCAGGTAAGTTTTCAATGTTTCAGAGAATGTCAAAATCTCATATTATACAACCGATTTTCACATATTTATATTTGTTCATAAATTTGTATTTCTTCTGTTATTTTAGAGTCTTGGACAATATCAACATGGAAACTATTGATACCAACGCAGACTATCGTCATTATAGTAAAAAAATTCAAGTTTGACGTTGGAATTAAAAAGATCCTATATAGGAGCATTTAATATGCAATTAGAACCTTCTGAATGTCAGTTTTGTGCACAATACTAACGTTAATTAAACCGTATAAAATCTGTTTGCAACAAACATTTTTTGTGAAACATTGTTTATAAAACACACACAAACTCCCGAAAATATTGCTAGCGTTTATATAACATGGTTTATTTTCAAGAAAAAGTGCTATTTTTTATTTTATTTTTGTTGTTGTTGTTTTTACATTATACATTATGTTGTGTTAATTATAAATGGTTAAGGGTTCGTATTTCTGCACATTCATTTCTAATCATGCACTAACTTTAGTATTACATTTTATCTACTTATGTTGAATTGACTAAAAGAATTCATTGTACATGATCATTTTGACGTGTGCAATAGTAATTGTGTTGACAGTTGTTCCGGTAATGTACCAGACAGTTTAACGTTTGTCCGTCTGTCTGTGGAATCTGTCATGACTATATATATTGTGCTCATTTTCAGGATGCAGATTTAGAGCAAATTTTCACTTTTTCACTTTACTTAAGACATGATATAAGGTCAGATTCAGGCCTATTTGTTGTTTTTTTTTTCATATTATTATCATTATAACTATCATTATTGAATTAAAACATTGATGAATATTTAAAACATCTCTTATAAATAACTTTACTTCTTACATGTAAAATTTTAAAACAGGAAATATCTCTACTAAGAAAGAGTGGTTTGTGTTTTTTTATGTGTATCTTTTTAATTGGGTGGGGCCAAAAAAATCTTAAATCATTCATAACTGTCATGTTATAACAATTCATGTGAAACAGGATTTTTGTATGTGCCAGTGCTTTTTAGTATATATTTGAATGCTAGAGAAAACGCAGTATAAATGTCAAAGAGGAAAATACTGGTACCTCTTCATTGTTTTCTAAAATCATTAAATTTTTGCATACATTTACTGTCAGTATATGTTTTAATCTTAATTATTATATTTCAATCATTGAAATATCTTGACATGCTTGCACGCTGGTCGTCAAAAAAGCACCTTTTAATTACATTCATGTCTTCATTTTATCTTAATACCAGTTCATATATACTTACATATTATAAAATAAATTTTGAACGAGATAGAGTTTGTTTTAGTTTAATATGTAACCTGCGGTATGTGTAACGATTTTATGTATGTGGGCATTCAATCTTCTAAACCTGTACTCGTCTACCATGTCTCTCCTACTGGTTAATCCTTCTGCCTAGAGCTCGGTTAACCCTTCTGCCCAAAGTTCGGTTAACCCTTATGCCCAAAGCTCGGTTTACCATACTGCACAGAGCGCGGGTAACCCTTCTGCCCAGAGCTCGGTTTACCATTCTGCACCCTTCTGCCCAAAGCTCGGTTAACCCTTCTGCCCAGAGCTCGGTTAACCCTTCTGCCCAAAGCTCGGTTAATCCTTCTACCCAAAGCTCTGTTAACCATTCTGCACAGAGCTCGGTTAACCCTTCTGCCCATAGCTCGGTTTACCATTCTGCCTAGAGCTCGGTTAACCCTTCTGCCCAAAGCTCGGTTTACCATTCTGCCCAGAGCTCGGTTTACCATTTTGCCCAGAGCTCGGTTAACCCTTCTGCCCAAAGCTCGGTTTTTAGTAATTCTAAGTGCAGGATATTTGTTAAGTAAAGGCCAAGATGGATAAAACATATATCTTTTTTTTCCTTTTGCATTCAGGACGTTAACTTTTTATGATACTGTCGTTGTACAAACAGGTAATTGTTTTACCGGCGGCCCCTCGGCAGGGGTTGCAATGAATTTGTATTATTTCTGTACATGTAATTGAAAAAAATCAATATCAAATTGAAGGGCGCGTTTTTGCTTCAAAGTAATAGGAATATTGATCCTCTCGGTAAATATTGCAACATTTGTAGCCCGAAGTCAAAATACACGTGTGTGAATCTGTCAAATAGTTCACAGGAAACCGTGACGTCAAGTGTATTTTGAACACACTTATATGTAAAGAAACTACATAAACACTAGAACTAACTCTTGAGTCTCTTGTGTGTAAAAATTCACAACGGGTGTATGTTTTTTAATATACATTAACAAAAAATACAGAAAGGGTAAAATGAATAAAAAAACGAAATTATAGGTTTATTAGTACAATATAAACAGTTCTCTATCGGCTGGGAGTGTTGGCGTACTCCTGTAATCTAGCTACTTGGAGGCCTGGATTTGAGGACGGTTTGAGAGTGGGAGTACTACTGTCGCCAGTGTCGATCGGGCGTCCGCACTAAGTCCGGCATCAATATGGGACACTCGGGGGAGCCTGAGTGGTCCAGGTTGTCTAAGGAGGAACGTACCGGCCCAGGGTGGAAACACAGCAGGCAAAAGTTCCCGTGTTGTACAGTAGTGGGATAGCGCACGTGAATTGGTACCTGGCAGTAGCCCATTCAATACAGCTGGACTCAATCCTTTTACTTACGCATCCTTTTTTTTCTTTTTTACAAATTCATTTTCATAAATATGGATCCGAGATCTTTTATCGATATTTAATCGGTTTTTCCAGTGTTATTCTTTTCCTTTTGCATTTAGCAAGTTTATCAAATCAAATATGACTCGAAAATAAAGAATACATGACATTTAATGCATTTTACAGAAAGAAAATATCAACAGCAGATGGTCAATCTTATTATGAAAATCTCAAAGAGGATGAGATAGTAAGGTGAGAGGAAATATCAGTATGCAAAATGAATTTTAAGTATACAAATGAAAATATTAGTAACAGAAGATAATGGAACGTATGCAGCAGTACTGTCTTAGCTTATCTGTTGCTCTGTTATCTAGGAACCTGTTCAAATGCCGCAGATAGTTAGAAAACATTTTCATTGTGTTTGATTTTTATTAGTTTGTGGCTCTTAAATGGCTCTAATCAAAAGCTTCTATGTCAAATCTCTGGTTTGTTCCAATAAAATTGATCTACATTTTCTTTGAACATTACAAATATTTCCACAAATATGGCTACGGTGTTTATTCAAATAAAGTAGAATATACTATATACAGTGTGCTGTTACATTGAATTATTGATTTATTAATATGTAAATAATGTATCATACATACAATCTGTACCTGATTTTCTCCTTCATCCCTATCTTTCATCGTTTCATTATAAACATCTAGTTTCTCCCGCCCAATATGGCGCGGTATAATTGAATATAAAGTGAAGTTATGTAAATAATAAGTCATAAGCTATAAGTTATAGATAATAGGTAATAAGTAATACATTTTGAATAATAAATGCCCCTCCAGGGCTTCCGTATAAATGTAATGTAATATAAAACTCATTGAATGACCCAAATATGAAAAGCGTTTAAAAGTGTTTTAACCTAAATCGGACAAGAATTGCGCAAAATAGAATGTATATCTAATTAAATCTGAGAATATATTATTCCTTTGTCGATTCATATTTTGCATATTTGTTCATTGTAAGTGTACATGCAGTTTATCTATGTAAGAATGTTTTTTATGTTTATAGATTTTTGGGACATCTGTGGAGCTCCTAAAATTAAATACCTTAACACCCTTATATATGTTGGCTGAATTGTGATATTCGTGTTTTCGTCCCGCGACCCCGCCAAGCGAAATGGTACACGAATGGCACATATCAGCCCCCATACTTATATATCATTTTTTTTTTTTTTTACTTTTAAGGTTCCAGCTTCTTTCAATATTTTATTTCGATACCACTTCCCATTTTTCTTGCGTCTTAATGCTCGAATGACAAAAAAAAATCACGTGCATGTCACGTGATGGTGTGCCAATCACATGAACTTTTGAGCCTTCTGAATAATTTAGGGATAAGTAAAAAAATTAAATCATGTGACTGAGAAGTGTTCAGAAAATGTTTTGCTGACGTCTTAACGGATTTGTTTAGTCTTTTTTTTTGCGAGAATCAATCAGTGGTTATACATACAAGAATGTCCCCGAGCGCTCAAGATTTGTGGTCGGGTGATTTTCCATACACTTTACTGTTAGCTTCATATGTGTGAAGTTTGTGATAGTGGACGTGACGTGACGGAAACGAAATGAGGTTTGGAATTTTTCTTTTATTTAAGGAAGTCGAAGCGAAAATGTAAGTTATTTTAAATGAATTGTTAAAACTATAACGAAACGTGAGTTACTGTTTTATCATTTATAAGTTTTACAGGAAAATCCGGAAAATGTTATTGTCTCGCATATAATTTGTAAATTATTATATATTTTTCGCAGGTATAATCAGATAATTTATTTGACAGTGTTTGACGCAAAGTTCAATTTTTCATGTATTGAGCCTTCACTTATAAATTAGCATAAATTATAAAGATAATATACGCAATACTGAAAAATGTTTTAGAAAGACAGGAATTAATATTTGTTTTATCGATACTTAGATGGCAAAAAAATGGTTTAACTGTTTAAGTTGATATAAAATGATGTATGACTAAATGCCATTTTACTGGATTTGTGTAATGGTTTTGTCCAGCATTGTATTGGAACATTCCACTTGAAGTTAAAGGGATTTTTAATTCAAAATACTAAAAATGGGCTTTCAACAGCATACAGTCAGGTCAGACTGCACGAATGTGAAGGGTGCCCTGGCTCTATACTGGTGACAAAGGCTGATTACTGGTTCGAGCAGTGTTAATGTTAAAAATACTCGTAAATCGTAATTCATCATTATACATAATTAAAATATATTTGAGCCGCGTCACGACAAAACCAACATAATGGGTTTGCGACCAGCATTGATCCAGACCAGCCTGAGCATCCGCGCAGTCTGATCAGGATCCATGCTGTTCGCTTACAAACCCTATAACAAGTAGAGAAACTGATAGCGAACAGCATGGATCCTGATCAGACTGCGCAACCTTCTAGATTCATGCTGGTCGCAAACGAACTATGTTGGTTTTGTCGTGACGAGGCTCATTTTCTTTTCACTGTGACACTGTGGTGGTAGCTTTATAAGTTCCTTTTAACCATTATCAGTAATTATATTGTTACTATAGTTTTTGCACTATATCATTTTTATTGTAAATAATTAGTATATATATATGCGACGATTCACGAATGTAAGCCTTCAATTCCTGTTTAAAGTTCTCGTTCTTTTCTGTTTATAGAAACTAAAGGCTTGTGTTCCCTTTGACGAAAAGTTGACTGTGGTGGCAGCAAACAAGAAAGTGTCATAGATGATAATTGTGACGTCAACACATGTTATGATGATTCTTATGATGTCCATGTTGATTATATTAATGGTAATAATAATAAATCTTTATGTCCTTCAATACTGAAGAGTCACATGCTTTAATACTAGATAATAAAATATTTATAAAGTTAACATATGATATTTATCAAAATAAACAGATAATTATCTATTATTTAACTGACAAATGTTGGCAGTCCTGGACACTTTTTAGTGTTTTTTATCATTCGTTGTTCATCTATGTATCTAACAGAAAAAATATATAGTAAGGCTTGTTTGTTGGATTCATTTTACGCCTTTTCCCAACAGTATTTCAGTCTTATACGAGCGGGTAGTTTCCTAACCATCGTTCCTGGAGAGTTACACCAGTACTAGACTACCTTACTCCGTGATCGAACCCACGCCAGAGAGGTAACTGGATTTGAAGTCATCGACTCTAACACATCGACCACGGAGGCGGTTACTATTTATCGTACTAACACGAAGACTAACTTGTTAGTCAGATAGTTAACGCGATAATTATATGGTTAACTGTTGGCAGAAATATGTCACTATACATGTTGATGACAATGGCGTTTGTCCATGGTTATGTTGATGAGAACGTCCATGGGTGTGACAATGGCGTTGTCCATGGTTATGTTGATGAGAACGTCCATGGGTGTGACAATGGCGTTGTACATGGTTATGTTGATGAGAACGTCCATGGGTGTGACAATGGCGTTGTACATGGTTATGTTGATGAGAACGTCCATGGGTGTGACAATGGCGTTGTCCATGGTTATGTTGATGAGAACGTCCATGGGTGTGACAATGGCGTTTGTCCATGGTTATGTTGATGAGAACGTCCATGGGTGTGACAATGGCGTTTGTCCATGGTTATGTTGATGAGAACGTCCATGGGTGTGACAATGGGGTTGTCCATGGTTATGTTGATGAGAACGTCCATGGGTGTGACAATGGCGTTGTACATGGTTATGTTGATGAGAACGTCCATGGGTGTGACAATGGCGTTGTCCATGGTTATGTTGATGAGAACGTCCATGGGTGTGACAATGGCGATGAAATGACGTTGTTCAAGATAGTAAGCAATCATCAGGAAAAACTAGTTATTTTTAGAAACTACTTATTTTTAAACAAATGATTTTTAACTTTTCTTCATAAGTTTTTTTCAGTTTCAAAAGATGAAATTTCAAAAGGAACTTGCAATAAATCATACTATATCGGACCATGCTGGTGGAGCAAGGACATCACACATTGATTATGCAATGTAAAAAAAGCATACTTATCTAAGTGAACAACCATGCGGAAAATTTGACATACATATATAAATGGTATTGCCAATAACCGAAATTGTGTAGAATTAAACAATTTTATATGAAATGAAGATTTTTTTTTCAAAATTGAAAGCCCAAGACTATGTTTTATGTTTATGTATATTGACGATATTTTGTTTGCATTGTGTTGTTTTGGTTTCTTTCTCAAATTTTTTGAGTTTTGTGTGTGATTGGGGTTATTCGACTTGGGTTCGGTGTTTTGGTTAGTGTCTTTGTGGGAGTTGTTTTTGTGGTCATGGTAGCTTTTCTCTGTCGAAATAGTTTGTATGGTGGTTATTTCTGAATAGTTTGGGAATTGGTGGTCGATAGGACATTTGCTTCTTTCCTGAAACATTGTGATTCATTTGAAAATTGTGGATTTGGTTATATTACTCGAATTTTGTATTCATGAGTGTAAAATAATATTTCATATACATATAGTTATAGTAATCTTATTAGAGACATTTTGTGCTTTAGATGTATACATAGAACGGGCCATCTTTATTATAATATTGATGTTTTATATGAATAATGTGATATTTTTGATAATTATATTTATATATAGGTGCAAAATGCGAAATTATATTAAAGATAATATTGATTCTTTTCGAGCGTGACATTTCTAATAATGATATTGAGTTGTTGAATGCGACATTTTTATCAATTGTATACTGATTTTTTAGATGCAGAATGTGACATTTTTATCAATTTTTTACTGATTTTTTAGATGCAGAATGTGACAATTGTGATATTTAAGTCTAGTATAGAGTATTGTTTTTTTAGATGGCATAAGAAAGCATCTCTGGATGACGAAGACAAAACTAGATAAAATTACTAGTATATTTCTAAACATTATCACTTTATATTTCAGACTGTTGTTTGATTGATAGTAAAAATAGAAATAGTTTACAGAGATCATTGAAGTGACGCCCTTGTCAAATGTACCCCTAAAGCAGAAAGTGGCGGGTTGTAATTTGTCGCGCAGACGTAATCATGTACCATTTCAGACTTCCGGAATTGCAGACGACTGGCCAAGCTCTATACTGGTGGTAAAGAATAACCATTCGCTTTCAGCAGGGTACGGTTTGAAAAAGGAAAACAAAACTTTGTAATGTATGTCTTGTTTACTTTCTGAAAAATAAACTTTCGTGTCAATCAACATAGCATTATTGTCTAACGTTTCATAATGAACCATTTTAGCCCAACATTTTGAAAAACAAGTAAGGGCTATTTTAGTCACTTGGTCGACTGTTCTTGAAAAACACTTCGTTTTGCATATCTGCATACGTTTTGCGTGTAACTTCCTACCTCAGAATTTATAATGATTGTGTAACGGGGAGCATAATCTAAACACCTGTAATTCTAAAAAAGATTTTGATTTAATTATACCACTTAGTTAACTTGATTTAAAGCAGTCATGTTGAAAATAACTACTTAAGTTTACAAATATATTCTTATCAAATAAGCATAATTATGCTGAGTTACGGATCATTAAGAACATTTCAGTACTTTAAACAAAAACAAAACTTATAAATAATATAAGTTACAATTATTTTTAAAATGCTTAAAATAATTATGTAACATTTGTTCGACCATGTTACCAATACTGTTTTCACAGGTAGCAGACGACAATACATTTTGAAATGGAAAGGTGTGACCCTGTTGTCTACTACTCAATGTTGTGACCCTGATGTTATGAAATGAGGGTGATTTATTCTTGTTCCAGGTAATTAATAAAGATATTTTAAAGAAAAATTACAAGTTGTAACATTCTGTACAAATTTGAACTAAACAAAGAACAATAAATACTAAAGGTGCTAATTACATTACCTTTAACCCTGCTAAATATTTAAAATGGACTTGCCCATTTTCCAATCTGGACAAAACCATTCCACGTTTTAAGGGAAAATATGCACTGACTCATTATCAAGGGTATGCCGACTCATCTTGGCCTGCACTGGGTGATTGTGTACATTTATATTTTGTCTAAAAGTTAATATTGTACCACGCAAAATGATCAGAAAGTATTTATTACAGTACGTTACTAATTTAAAGGTTTAATTTGGTACAATATTTGTACTTGTAAAAGAAAATTAATTTCAGTTTATGCATAATTATTGTTGCTTTTCTAGGAAACAATTAACTGAACATATACTGTAAAGAACTACTTTTTTGAGATCACTCCTTTCCTTAAATTGATGTATTTACAATCTAAATTCAAAAATATACATTCAATAACATACCTGTATATTGAATTTATCTTACATGATATGATTTCGTTTTTAATTCATGAATAGGTAGCCTGCTAGCACACTTCTGCTACGGCACGTGCAGAAGGAAGGGAGATAATCATAAATGTATTACACATAAGGGAGATAAAATATATACTATTAAATGTCAGAATTATTTCTTATGTATTTTGTGATCATGATAAACTGGTGACTTTGATTGCGGCACTCCTATGACAAATTAGTTTTTAAGACATAAATAGATAAATGTTTTTAACTTTATTTCAGTATCATGATTTGAAATTAGGAAAGAACAAGATATGAAAAATAAGTCCCGGCGAACTGATCTTGGCATGTAACATCCTTATCACAGAAGTGGAACCTATTGATTAAGGTGAGGTAATAGTAGATTTTATGAATGTAGATTTGTCTGTCTCTTAACCAGTGGGAGCAAATGTTTTAAGCCTTTGTCACCAAGCCCCCTGTACACTAACAAAAGATCAGGATCAAGGTAAAGTGACCCTGATTTCATTTTCATTGTTTTATAAAGCTAAAATTGATCACATTTATAGATCGACTATTCGCAGAATTAATATTAACGTTAAATTGCATCAAGTGAGTAAAAGCTGAATGACCACTATTTTAGTAAGACGTAATTATTTGTTTGTTGTTTTACTGAATTTTATTATGTGCATTTTGTTTACACTATTATTTGAAATTTGGTTGTTCAACCCGTGCATCTGCTGTCTTTTGCACATGAAACGCAAGCGTTACAAGTGATGTGGATATTTTATATATTTTTGAACATTACTAGTAATTATTCATTTCTTTAACGCTTTCTTTGCTGATATTGAGGTGTGCAGCTTTTATAAGGTCCATTATGCCCCCAAAAATGTTTTTATTTTTATATCTGAAAAGTCTTTTATTTTTGGTGTCCTTTTATAGTTTCAAAGCAGATATCCATTGGTCATTTATCTGAACAGTCTTTTGCTTCTTGAAAACAGTTTTAGTGATTTTGTAGTTTGTATGGAAGTTAAAATACTACTGTGTTTACATGTTGCGACCTTTAAACCACATATGTTCACTTTCAGCTTAACATTCTTTTGCTTATAAGCATAACATGCTTTAAAGCATTACTTGAAAGTTATAATACTCATATTTGCCCTGCCTAATGCAGGTAAAAAAATCATTACTGAGGCATAATGTGCTTTTAAGGAAAAACAGTTCATTCGAAATTGAATACTGTTTTTACAAAGCAAATGTATCGGTGACCTTACATTTTCAGAAATATGGAACATGGTTAGTTAAGCGAGTGACGGAATGAAGAAAACCACCCTTTACAGTCGGCAAAATAACTATACTTCCGGTTTGGAACTACTGCATGCCGTTACAACATACGTGCCAAAGAGATTTCATCTACCTGATTTGGTATTTTCCTGGAAATGTCATGATCTTAATGTGTTTTTTTTCCTGCCAGATTAAGGAGAATATTACGATGTAACTGTCTTATATTATGGCATTTATGAAGTAATGAGTTGTTGCTTTTTTGGCATAGTAATAAAAACCATAATGTTACCTCGAGTGGATTTTCTACATGCGCTTGTAAAAACAACACCTTCTTAAATGCCGTGATGTGAACAGAATAGAAGAGATATTTTATTTGCTTTTTACATTGTACATCTTCTTCTATTTACAAACACATTGTACCGTCAATGTATTGTACATAATGACAATTATGAGTATAATTGCAATAATGAATAAAGCACTTTTTCCATTGTATATTTCAAGTAGTGTAATGAGGAATGTACATTAATTAAGACTTAATATGTATATACAAACATACTGTACCGTTAACATAATAATATCAAATTGGCAGAAATGAATGATGCACTTTTTTACAATGTGTAGATATATTTCAAGTAGTGTAATAAGTAACATTTGATCAGGAAGTACATAAATTAAGACTTAATATACAGTATATACAAACATACAGTACCATTAACATAATAACAGAAGTAAAATTGCAATAATGAACAAAGCACAGTTTTGCAATGTAGATTTCAAGTAGTGTAATTAGTAATATTTCATCAGGAATGTACATTAATTTTATGCAAACATACTGTACCATTCACATAATGGCAATAGCAAATTTGCAGAAATGAATGATGCACTTTTTTTTTACAATGTGTATTTCAAGTAGTGTACAAATGTAATAAGTAACATTTGGTCGTTAATTAAGAGATACTAGGCCGTACAATGAGAAAAAATAATAATTTAACAATGTCATGATCGAAACATCTATTTGAAATTTCTTATGATTTAGATAATAATTCATGTAGATAGATAGATACTTTTATTTCCTCCAGAATTGAAGTGCATGAAACAATTCACCATTTAAAAAAAACATAAATGATGAACAAAATGGTTTGAAATAAAATTAAAAAAAAATAATGAAATAAAATTCAATTAAGAACAACAATAAAATAAAACTAACAATAATGAAATAAAATAAAATAAAACAAAACTAATGAAATAAAAGAAAAACAACACTAATGAAATGACATAAAACCAATAAATAATGAAATACATAGAATAAAAACAAAAATAAATAAAATGAAATAAAAACCACAGAAACTGAAATAAGATGTAAACAAGAAAAGGAATGAAAGAATGTTATTGTATAGTTGTTTACCTTTTGCATGCTTGACCTTTAAGTGAACAGCCTTTGCCACCAGCAAAGAGTCCGCCAGTCTGCACAGACCAAGCCCTACACCGTTGGCTGACCAATTTTCAAATTTTATTTTATTCAAGTTATATTCCCTAAATTGATAATGGGCGTATTTAGAAACGGAAGTTGGATATTCAAGTAATCTTCCGATAATATTATCAAACATGTAAAGTGTTCCTTTATATTTCAAATTCATATTTTACTTTTTCTGACGACCCAAACAAATAAAAACTAGATAAAACGGTGGGGGGGGGGTGGCTACATCATTTAGCATTTTTTAGTTTATTCTATCAAATTTTACTTTACTTGCCTGTTATAATTTTAATATATAAAATTTACATATTAATTTATTTATTTATTTATTTATTTATTTATCTATTTATTTATTTGCAAATCACATCAAGTGAAAAGGGAGGCTGCTTGTCTTAAAATACATACTTATTTTATTTATTTATTTATTTGCAAATCACATCAAGTGAAAAGGGAGGCTACTTGTCTTAAAATACACACTTATCTACCCTGAAAATTCAAATTATATGAGCAGACCAAAGGAGACTTCTCTTCATTAATTTAAACAATTATAAACTGATAAAAGTCATTTTCCTGTCAGTTTACACTGCATTACCACTTGTATTTTTTCTCTAATTGATAACTCGCACACATCTTTGGTACTAACATTAACTCTTTGGGGAAAATGACTTTTAGTATGCTGTTGTAAAACTTCCAACAAATATCAATCAAAAGGTAATAAACGTAAGGTTAGTTTGAGAATTTAGCTGAAAATTTTCGAAAGCAAAAGGCATAATTTATAAGATGTTTTAATTTTCAATAGGAAGAGTAGTCGCCCTTTGGTCCTTTGCGTCATTTTCAATTTTTCAGGGGAGGTTAAACCATTAATAAATTATTAAAGTTAAGAGTTGTCTCCCTTTAGTCATTTACGCTCAGACATACTTGCGTTTTACAAATTCTTCTGCAATATTTAAATACATTTGGTTACTTTTACATCAAAAACAATTTTAAGGAACACACTATTGTCAGAATATACATGTATAGATGCTTTCTTTTTAACAAGTTTTTTAGAACTTGAAATACTTCTACTAATTATAGGATAGGTTTTTTTTTTAAATTAAAATACCATTACATGATGATGCTTTTATACATAGCACATAGAAATGTAAATAAAATAAATCATAATAATATGCGTAATTATTGTATGTTGTAATTGAGGTTGTATACCACACTTAAATGACATTATATAAATGTATATAAATATACTTATAAAACAATTTTCAAACATTGAAAAATATGTACTGCAAATATTTGTACATATCAAATGTAATCATTAAAATAAATGCATTCATTTCTTATTGAAATTTTTTGACTTAGCCTTTAAAGAAAATAATTTTTTATTGCCTCCCTTTATTTACATGAAATATTTAATTCGGTAATATCTTTATAAATAATGCTTTTTGGAACTTATAAAATTGATAAATCTTAATTTGAGCATCATATTTATAATATAAAACCATTAAAAATATTTGTTACAGTTTCTTTAAACGCTCTTAGATTTTTACTTTTGGTCAAGAACTTAGTATTATAAAAAAATAAAGATGAAATAGCCTTGCTTATAGTCTTGAAAATAACTATAGTATTTCTTAACTTACAACACTACCATATCAGGATATTTAAGTATTATGATTTGAGTCACATGTAAACATATGGTAAACAATTTGTAAAGTTTTTAATATATATCTGGAACATTTTAAATAACAACGTTTGACATTATAAATCTATTTTGTATCTTGGACACTTTGTGTTTCTAAATATTTCTTTAAACATATTTCAAAAATCGATTTCAGTTATGGGCATTATTTAAAGTATCTCAACATCCTTAGAATTCTAAACAATTCTAACAATGTCCTTTCATAGTTTGAAACATTAATATATTTGTTAAATATTTGGGGAAAAAATGAAATTAATTTGTGTCGTGGGAACTGCTTTACTATCTAAACATACATTGATAAATGAAAAAATAAGCTGCTTGAACTTCATAACTTAGTTTTAATGAAGACCACTACTTGAAATAACTTGTGGCTGGAACATCACTTGACATATCTAACTTAGTTTGAGCCTGGAACAATACTTAAACTACCTTTACATAAGTAGAGTCTTAGGAATAATTGAAATATCTTAACTTCATTTGTGTCTTGAACAATAATTGAAATATCCTAACTTAGTCTGAGTTTTGAACAATACTTGAAATGTCTTAACTTAGTTTGAGTCTTGAAGAATACTTGAAATATCATCACTTAGTTTTAGTCTTGAAGAACAACCTGAATTATCTTAACTTACTTTGAGTCTGGAACAATTCTTGAAATATCTTAACTTAGTTTGAGTCTGGAACAATTCTTGAAATATCTTAACTTAGTTTAAGTCTAGAACAACACATGAAATATCTTTTCTCAGTTAAAGTGTGGAACAATACTTGGAATATCATAACTGAATTTGAGTCTGGAACAATAATTAAAATATCTTAAATGAGTTTGAGTCTGGAACAATACACAAATATCTTTACTTAGTTTGAATCTGGAATAATACATGAAATATCTTAACTTAGCTTGTGTCTTGAACAAAACTGGAAACATCTTAACTGAGTTTGAGTCTGCAACAACACTTCAGATATCTAAACTTAGCTTGTGTCTGGAACAATACTTTAAATATCTTAACTGAGTTTGAGTCTGGAAGAACACTTTAAACATCTCAACTTATTTCATTATGGAACAACACTTGAAATATTTTTACTGAGTTTGAGTCTGAACATCACTTGAAATATCTTGCCTTAGCTTGTGTCTGGAACAACATTTGAAATATCTAAACTTAGTTTGAGTCTAAACTTTGTTTGAGTCTGGAACAATACATGAAATATCTTAACTGAGTTTGAGTCTGGAAACAACACTTGTAATATCTTAACTTAGTTTAAGTCTAGAACAACACATGAAATATCTTTTCTCAGTTTAAGTGTGGAACAATTCTTGAAATATCTTAACTTAGTTTAAGTCTAGAACAACACATGAAATACCTTTTCTCAGTTAAAGTGTGGAACAATACTTGAAATATCATAACTGAATTTGAGTCTGGAACAATAATTAAAATATCTTAAATGAGTTTTAGTTTGGAACAATACACATATATCTTTACTTAGTTTGAATCTGGAACAATACATGAAATATCTTAACTTAGTTTGAGTCTTCAAAAATACTTGAAATGTCTTAATGTTCTTTAAGTCTGGAACACAACTTGAAATATATACCTGAGTTTGAGCCTGAAACAACACTTGAAATATCTTAACTGAGATTGAGTCAGGAACAATACTTGAAATTTCTTAACTAGCTTGAGTTTGGAACAACACTTGAAATTTCTTAACTTAGCTTGTGTCTTGAACAAAACTTGAAACATCTTAACTGAGTTTGAGTCTGCAACAACACTTCAGATATCTAAACTTAGCTTGTGTCTGGAACAATACTTTAAATATCTTAACTGAGTTTGAGTCTGGAAGAACACTGATTTGATAATGGATATTTTATCTGAGTTTGAGTCTGCAACACTTGAAATATCTTGCCTTAGCTTGTGTCTGGAACAACATTTGAAATATCTTAACTTAGTTTGAGTCTAAACTTTGTTTGAGTCTGGAACAATACTTGAACTATCTTAACTGAGTTTGAGTCTGGAAACAACAATTGTAATATCTCTCAACTTAGCTTGAGTCTGGAACAAACTTGAAAGTTCTTAACTTAGCTTGTGTCTGGAACAATACTTGAAACATCTTAACTGAGTTTGAGTCTGGAACAACACTGGAGTTATCTTAACTGAGTTTGAGTCTGGAACAATACTTTAAATACCTCAAATGAGTTTGAGTCTGGGAGAACACTTGAAATATCTTAACTGATTTAATTCTGTACAAACACTTGGAATATTTTAACTTAGTTTG